CTGTAAAAGGTGATATTCTAGCTAGCATTTGAGGAAAACCAGGGAAGCTGGAAGGGGGAGCGTTCCAAGCATGAGGGACAGCAACAGAAAATGTTCGGTCAGGAGAGTGTCTTGTTTGAGGAACAGTGAGGTGGCACTGGAGTATGTGGGAGAAAGGGGCGGTAAGAAGACTGGAAAAGTGGGGAAGTTGGGCTTTAAACGCCACAGCATTTTACATTTCATCCTGGAGGCAATAGGGAGCCACTGAACGTCACCTAGTCAGACTTGTGCTTTAGGAAAATCACCTTGACAGCAGAGTGGAGGATGAAACGGGGTGAGGGGAGCCTCGTGGCAGGGAGACCAGCTAGCAGCCTATTGCAAAAGTCCAGGCGTGAGGGCATTAGGGCCTTCACCCATGTGACGCTGGACAAATTATCCCACTTCTTCGGACCTCAGTTTCCTCATCTGTAAAATGTGTGTTGAGTCGTTTCAGTCACGTCCATCTCTCCATGACCCTGTTTGGAGTTTTCTTGGCAAAGATACCAGAGTGGTTTGCCATTTCCTTCTCCAGTTCATTTTACAGATGATGAAACTGAGGCAATCAGTGACTTGTCCAGGTTTATACAGCCAGTAAGCGTCTGAAGTTGGATTTCAACTCAAGTCCTCCTGCTTCCAGGCCAAGCACTCTATCCACTTTGGCACCTAGCTGTAAAATGAGGAGAGTAAATTGGTGTCCTCTGAGGTCTCATCTACTTCTAAATCTATGACTCTCACTTTAGCTCTAAATTGTGATATACTGGATAGAGCGCTGAAGTTGGAGCAAGAAAGACTTGGAGTCGTATCTTGCTTCAGACACTTACTAGTTGTGTGACTCTAAGCAAATCAGTTAACCCCTCTGTGCCTTGGTTTCCTTATCTGTAAAATGACATGGTTGGACTCAACCTCTAAGTTCATCTCTAACTCCATAATCCTATGGTTATAGATTTGAATCAATCTGAATGAGTTTAAACAAATAAAATAAATAAATGACAATCTGTTTACCCACAATGTAATTTATACTTCTCTAGACAATAAACCATTTTTCAAAACTGTGCAATACCTTTTCTTAGAAATGCCTCACTTCTATTTGTGACTCTACGATATGTACTGAGAATGGGATTTAGGTCCATACTTTGGGAGCTCTAGCAAAATTTAAGATGTGGTCTAGCCAGCAATGAAAGATTCACATCCCACAGGGAAAAAAACAATAAGCACGCTTGTTTATTAAGATTTGGCTTGCAGCCCTGGAGTCAGAAGGACCTGAGTTCAAATCTGGCCTCAGATATTTGACACTTACTAGCTGTGTGACCCTGGGCAAGTCACTTAACCCCAACTGCCTCCCCCCCCCAAAATAAAAGATTTGGCTTGTAATTATCCAAGTTAATCATTTTAATGAACAGATTGAATGACTTCTTTCATGAAGTCACAGATCAAGGGGAAACCTCTCTAAGGCTTTCTCATTTCACAGGCCAAGAAAAGTTAAATGACTTGTCTAAGGTTACACCATGTCTTAGTGGAGGGGTCACAATTATAAGCCAGGTACCCCTAATTGATTTTAAACAAGATAGTCCACTTACAAATCATTGATTCTTTTGAGTAAAAGAAAGCATGTTTGAATTTACCGACATCTTTTCTTTTGCCACAGAACTTCGGGCTCAGATACTTATGAGTAGCTGACCTACATAAGCTCTTACAAATGATCATCTTTCAGAATAAACATAAACAAAGCACTGGTTCTGGAATTTAATAATGAATATTTTTTGATTATTCTGCTTTTATAAATATGTCTTTAGCCTCAACAAATAGATACAAGCTGCTGAGATAGTATGCTCTCCCTGAAAACTTAGGAGAAAAAATTGGAATGGTCTCAAGAGTCAGTTTTGAAGGCCCACAAGAAAATCAACCTCTTAATTTTATATCCATGATGCGTTTGTGTTTTGTTTTTAAACCAAAGACAGCACTGGCAAGCTTGATCATCCACCTTAATCAGCAACTTATAGGATCATAGATCTGGTGTTAGAAGGCTCTATATATGGATATATATACACATAAATGTAGATATAGCTATAATCCAAACCCATCATTTTCTACAGGAGGAATATGGGGCCCAGGGAGGTTGGGATGTGCTCAAGCTCACACACAAGTAATAGGCATCAATGGCAGGATCTGAACACAGGTCTTCTAAATCCAGAGCCAGTGAACTCTGCACTGCGCCAGCCTAATTTGACCCCATGTAATTTGGAGCCATTTCCAAAAAATCAAATCCCCTCCTACATGTTATATATTTACCTCCATGGAGTGTATTACAAAGTAGGTGGCACAGACTCTGAAGGCAACTGTCAAAGACCAAGTCTCAGAGATATTTTGAGCAATAGCAGCATCAGAAGAAAAGGTAGGAAGTTTTCCAAGGACAATGGTTCCCTTTGAAAAGCAACTTTCATTTGGATGTATGACTTTTAATATATTTGTTTGAAAAGGAAATGGAATGAGACATTTATATAACACCTACTATGTGCCAGGCACTGTACTAAGCACTTTACATATATCTCACTTGAAGCAAGGTATGTCACTTCATAGTTATACCTCACACACTACACACCATACTCAAGCATAGCCTCTTGGCCACACCATCAGATTGGGTTACAGGGGTGGTAAGATTTTACACTGTGACTTCTTGGGCCCATTTTCCAAATTGTAAAGGTTTGTGCTGAATAGAGCAATAATTTTCCCTATAAAAGACTCAACCAGCTCCCCATCTCTCCTGATCTGCAGCTGCTGCTCTGAATCAGATATTTTGTTGTTGTTCAGTCATTTCAGTTGTGTCTGACTCCCGTTTGGGGTTTTCTTGGCAAAAATAGTGCAGTTTGTCATTTTCTTCTCCGATTCATTTTACAGATGAGGAAACTGAGGCAAAGAGAGTTAGGTGACTTACCCAGGGTCACACAGTTAGTAAGTATCTGAGGCCAGATTTGAACTCAGAAAGATGAGTCTTCCTGACTCCAGGCCCAGTGCTCTATCCACTGCACCACTCAGCTGTTCCACATTAAATACAGTACTATGCCTAAGAAGAAGGCTTTTCCAAATCCAGGAAGGGTCCAGAGTCACACCAAGAATTAGTGAATCTTATACCCCCACTGAGAGAGAAACAATAGCAGTCCTAGGATTCTTCCCTAATAAGAGGATGGAGCTCACGTGTTTATTTTACCCTTTGAAAAGTAGTATCATTTTTCTCTGAGGACAAAAAGCTCCAAGGAATACACCCTGCTTTCTAAACAGACTCATTCTATCCTGATATGGGTGCTACAGGGAATTACGTTGTATGAACTTGCTGTGAATCTCCTTTCTCTCACCTCGGAATAAGGAAAGTTACTTAATTAATTAGTTGATATGTACCGAATGCCTCTTCTATGCAGAGAACCATATATGTGTGCCCCAATATGAGGTTGCTCCAACATCATTTTGTAATAACAGCATTAATGCATAATAGCAAAACCCTACTGCACAGCCTCAGACGCTTGACACTCACTAGCTGTGTGACCCTGGGCAAGTCACTTAACCCCTATTGCCTCACCAAAAAAACAACAACAACAACAACAACAAAAACACCCTACTGCAAAGTCACAAAACTTCCTGTAATGCCATTCAACTGCTAGCCCACTTAAAGCATTGTGGGTGTAAACTCAGTTTGCCCCACATAATGTGATTTTGCTCAACATCACGTTTTTCACCAAACTAATACAACTTTTCAACATATGTCTGTACCAGGTGCTATTTGTTGTTCAGTCATTTTTCAGTCGTGTCTAACTCTTTGTGACCCCATTTGGGGTTTTCTTGGCAAAGATACTGGAGTGGTTTGCTATTTCCTTCTTCAGCTCATTTTACAGATGAGCAAACTGAAGCAAATAGAATTAAGTGACTTGCCCAGGGTCACACAGCTAGTAAGTGTCTGTCTGAGATTTGAATAGGAAGATGAGTGTTCCTGATTCCATGCCTGGCACTCTATCCACTGTAACACCTAGCTGCCCCACTAGGTTCTATAGAAAGATACAAAAGGAATAAGCATTCTTGGGAGGAAAAATAGTAACCATCTCATGGTAGCATCTATGCTGATAATGGCTTAAGTAAACTCTTTTTATTTTAAATGATTATTATGGGTTTTTTTGGGATTTTTGTTTTGTTTTTTTTTGGGGGGGGGGTTTCCCTAGGCAATGGGGTTAAGTGACTTGCCCAGAGTCACACAGCTAGTGTCAAGTGTCTGAGACCGTATTTGAACTCAGGTCCGGAGGCTCTATCCACTGCGCCACCTAGCTGCCCCAGTAGATAAACTCTTGGCTCATCCTCTACTAACCAAAATACACTATTATCATACACATAAATCCACTAATAATAAGTGTTAGAAAGATCCATAAGATCCCCTTTGCAAAATCCTTTCAGCTCATCAAAAAAAAATTATTATTGTCCACAAATTGCAATTTCTGTATTGCATAATAATCACAAATGACAATATGAATTTTTGTTTTTAGAGGACTTTGTATCCAAGCCATCAGTCAGAATTTTCACCATAAACCACTAGCTTCTCTTCCCTGACTTCCCCACTAAGTCACAAGTACTGCATTTCCCCTGTTTTTCTCATGTCCTGTTGTTTAAGAAGAATGCTAGAATTCTTGGAATTGTGTATGCAATGGTAAGTGGATGGTTTCCAAAGCTCTCCTGCTTGATTTGGGATGCCTGAGGCATTTTTAAATGAAACATTAAGTTGAACCACTGAGAACAAAAACTTTGCAAAGAGCTTTTTTACTCTCAAATGCATCTAAACCAAGACTACCACCTAGAGGATTTCACAGGACAAAGATGACAGTTCGTCCCTCCAGTTACAGAAAAATATCTAGTCTCTTTCCAGTTTAGAAGCAGATATGTTTCATATGAATGTAAACTTTTACTGACTTCACCTTAAAAAAATGTATCTCCTCTTCTTTTTTCAGGAAGAACAGTTTGGGATGTATGCACTATACAGCAAAAACAAACCACAATCCGATGCTTTGCTTAGCAGCCATGGGAATGCCTTCTTTAAAGTAATCATATTTTCATTACTCCATCCAGTGAAGCCTACACCCAATGTCTGTGAGTGATAGATATTTTGGTGGCCCTGAATTGCCAGCCATGCACTAACCTCTGTCTTCACCCTTTTGACATTCTCTTAGAACAAGCAGCAAGATCTGGGTGATAAGATGGACCTAGCCTCCTACCTGCTTAAACCAATCCAGAGGATGAGCAAATATGCTCTGCTGCTAAAGGACATGATCAAAGAATGCACGAAGACTCAGGAGCAGGAGCTCAGTGACCTCCGAGCTGCCGAGGAGATGGTCAAATTCCAGCTTCGCCACGGGAACGACTTGTTGGCCATGGACGCCATCCGGGGGTGTGATGTAAGGGTTCTTCCTCTCTTTGCTTCCTCCTGACAAGCTTTGCATGCCATGTGGGAAGTCAGCGGGAGGTCCCTGTCTCCTGCCCTTCGTAAAGGGAGTGACCAAAGAAGTGCCACCCGGCTAAGTAGGGGTGTGGGAAAGTGAGGAAGGAAATTACATTCACATATCTCCAGGCCTAATCATCTGCTCCAATCTGCCACTTTGGACTTTGATGGGAAAGAAGGATAAGGACAGTGGGAGAGATGTTTTAGAACTGAAGAGTCCTTTTGGGTATCGATGGGATTGGTCCCTTTCAACACTCGGCTTCTGTGATTCTGGCAGCTGTCGATAGCTGCTCTTTAAAGGGAGCCCAGAATTAAAGCGAATCAGAAGATGGGAATACCATTGTTCCTTGCTCCTCTCTAGCGGTCAGCCCCTCTGCTGTGCAATGGTCAGTCCTACAAAGGACCCATGATGTCATTGATGTGGACACTGCCCTCTTCCACTGGTGGAGATTTAAAACCGTCCACACTTCCTCATTGTGTGTAATTATTGTCCCCGTCCTTCCATAAATCCTCCAGTATCCTGCAGGTATTTGTGCACTACACGCTTAACCAACCTAGGGATGGGCATGGAAGAGAGTGAGTATTGTGTCACTTGGTCATTCAAGCTGCAAAATCCAGTCACTCTGAAACTAAGCAAATGAACTAGCTAAGTTCAGTTCACTTGAGTGTTTTAAAACGCACCTCACAGTCGCAGCCACACAAGAATAAGAATAATTAGAATAATACTACTTCAATTGCACAGTGCTGTAAAGTCGACCAACTGCTTTCCTCACTATGACCCTGCAAGGTAAGCAGTGCAGATATCCCCATTTCACAGAAGAGAAAACCAAGGCTCACTGAAATTAAATGACCAGTGTCAGAGAGCATACATCAATCAATCCATCCATCAGCATTTCTTAAACACCTACTGTGTGCCAGGCACTGTGCCTGCGGATAAAAGAAAAGTGAAGGACAATCTCTTTCAAGGAGCTCTATATCTCCTGACTTTATACTCTAAGCCCTTTTTGCTCCATAGCAGAGCTGGAAAAGGCATTAAATCAACAATTTTTCTGAAGACTCCAGGTCTCAGTTTCCCCATCTGTAACATAGAGGAATTGGACTAAATGTTCTTTCAGGTTCCTTCTACGTCAGGCATTCTGATGTAGCTGAACTCCTGTTCACAGGAATTTGTACCAGGTCTTGGAATCATTAAAAAAGTAAAACACATTTCTAGTCACTAATCTCATTGGACTGACATGAAGAGTGCCACCATATGGTAATGTCACTATTCTAGCAGTCTGAGATGAAAGGTGACTTGACAAGTGTCTTCCTCAGGGTATTATAGTATTAAAGTATTATACAAATTATACAAAATACTTCCTCAGAGTATTATACAAATTACTGAATGTTGGTCTTTGCAGAATCGTTGGACTTTTGAAATTTTCCAACAAATTTTAGAAACTTTCCCATTCCAATTTGCCTGATGCTGGACCAATTTCAAAACCTCTGTGACTCTCTAGGTTATCTCCTAAAACTAGAGTGATCAGCTCATTCTGTGATATCTGCTGAAAAAGAGAGAATTTAGCCTCACTGGGCTGAGGGCTGAGAGCTTCTGTCATTTACTGGGTTACCTTGCGCAGCCAGGAGGTGAATGGATAAAGTGCTGGGCCTGGAGTCAGGAAGACCTGAGTTCAAATCTGGCCTCAGACACTTACTAGCTGTGTGATTTTGAGCAAGTCATTTAACCGCTATCTGCCTCAGTTTCCCCAAATGTAAAATGTGAAGAATAATAATAGCACCTACTTTGCAAGATTGTTGTGAGATCAAAATGAGAATATTTATAAAGCACTTAGTACAGTGCCTGGCACATAGTAGGTACTATAAATTCTAGCTATTACTGTTATTATTTGTCTGACGTTTAAAGCCCTTCTCAATCTGGCTCCAACAAACCTTACAATCACATTTCTGCCTTTCTCATATCCTGTGTTCCAGCCAAATTGGACCATTAGCTGTTCCTAGACTTTGTCATACCCTTTACCTGCCTCTGTGTATTCATGTAGGCCATCCTCCTACCTGGAAAGCCCTGCATCCATAGCTGACTGTTCAAATTAATCTCTTTTTCATCAAGGCCTAACTCAGGTGAACCTTCTTCCTTGAAGCTTTTCTTAATCCTTTCTCCCTAGCCCTCAGCCTTGCATCTTTCCTTCCTTGAGTTTGTTTTTTAAAACATTTGATTTTTATTTTATTTTTAATTGCATGTAAATAAAATTTTTAACATACTTAAAATTTCTTTAAGTTCCATATTCTCTCCCTCCCTCCTTGAGAAGGCATGCAATTTTATATCTTCCTCAAATTTCTTTTTTTCTTTCAAATAGTATTTCATTTTTTCCAATTACATGTAAAGACAATTTTTAACATTCTTTTTTTATAAAATTTTGAGTCCCAAATTTCCCTCCCTCCCCTCCCCCTTAAGATGGTAAGTAATTTGATAAAGGTTTATACATATATATACATATATACATAGATATGCAATCATGTAAAACATTTCCATATTAGTCATGTTGTTTGTATAAGAAGAAACAACAAAACTTCTTCAAATTTCTTAAAATTCTTCAGAACTCTTTTCGTTTACTCTATGTCATACATATTTATACACATATCCTATTCTCCCTGTTAGATAGTAAACTAATAATAATAATAGCTAGCATTTATATAGCACGTACTATGTGCCAGACATACTAAACACTTTTAAATATGACCTCATTTGATTGTTACAACAAGGTTGGGAAGTAAGTGCTGTTATTATCCCCTACTTTACAATTGAGGAAGCAACTGACAGCAGGGATTGTCATTTTTTTATGTTTGTATCCTCAGCGACTAGCACAATTCTTGTTGCTTAATCAGTGCTTAAAAGTATATTGTTGAATTTTAAAAATATTGTCCAGACGTATTTTCTTTTGTACATATATGTTTTTTAAAAATTTTCTCCAATTTCATGTTAAAACAATTTTCTAACATTTGTTTTTTAAGCTAGAAGCTTGCACCCATTCCAACATCCTTCAATTTTGCATGGCTAAAGCGATGTTTAAAGGTGAACAATGACACCAATGTAAAAATATCCTTAACCTAATTCAGATCAGACAAGATCTCTATTATCTCTTTAAAATCTTTCTCTTTCTCTTTCTCTCTGTAGGTGAATTTAAAAGAACAAGGGCAGCTGAGATGTCAGGATGAATTTATTGTTTGTTGTGGAAGGAAAAAATATCTGAGACACGTCTTCCTTTTCGAGGATCTTATCTTGTTTAGCAAGACCAAGAAGATTGATGGGGGATATGATATTTACATGTATAAACAGTCATTCAAGGTACAAACAAACCGCCCTATGCAAGGCATGGGCATAATGCATGGGATTTTTGCACAGAATGTACAGTTTTTTGAATGGGGTTGGTTGGTAATTATTTCTGGATTAAAAAGAGCTCACAGTTTTCTTGGTTTTCTAATTCCATAAATTACATGTAAGTGAGGAAAGGCAAAAAAGGACAAAAACTGAACTTCATGGAATGAAACAGAGAGCAACACGATAGCATTTTTACACCTCACTGTGTAATTCCTTCATGCCTATTACCTGATTTTTCCAAAAACTTCAGACCACTGTGAACTCAGCTTTATTCCCCAGAGGTGTTAGTCATCCCTGTACCAGTTGTATTTATTTATATGGTACATTGAGATGTCTTACTAAATGAGACTCAACTGGAAGCCAGATGTTTCCTGAGCAAATCATTCTACTTTGCATTTCTATTAGGGTGGAGAGGGCTGATTGGGCAGTCAGCAGCTGCCTGAACCGCGCCCCTCGGCACACTTGGCAGTACAGAAGCTCCGGCAAGTTGGGCCAAACTGACTGTGGACTTCCAGTCCCCTTTAATTGGGAGCTTCTGACCACCTGCCTTTAATTAGGAACACAAGCGAGGACATAGGAAGCAGTGTGGTGCGCTAGAAAGAGGGCTAGTCTTGGAATTAGAAGACCTTGGTCCAACCTGGCACACACTGGTTGGGTGACCCTGCACAAGTCATTTAACCTCTTAGTACTCTAGAGCAGGGAGAGGACACCTTTGGCCTGGAGGCCACGCGTGGCCCTCTAGGTCCTCAAGTGCAGCCCTTCAATTGAATCCAAACTTCCCAGAACAAATCCCCTTAATAAAAGGATTTGTTGGGGCAGCACCAGCCCTGGATTCAGGAGGACCTGAGTTCAAATTTGACCTCAAGAAACATAACACTAGCTATGTGACCCTGGGCATGTCACTTAACCCCATTGCCTAACCAAAAACCAAAAACAACAAAGGATTTGTTCTGTAAAACTTGGACTCAGTCAAAAGGCCGAACCCAAGGATTTAGAAGTTCCCCATCCCCGCTGTAGACAATTGTCTGAGATTATAAGTTGCAGAGAAAGTGTGGGCCACTGTCTAGATTTTAAAAAAATAAAAACATGGCATATTCACATATACAGCATCTACTCTCCAAGTTGGAATGTATCCATAACAATTTAGCACTTCAAAGAGTGCCAAGGCAAAACCTCTTCTTTCAGTTTGCAAGAAACATTGGGTTTCAGAGTTTTTCCATCACAGGACAGGGTAGTCTAGGGGGGATGGCGCTGTTATGGGAGCCAACACTCCTGGGATCAGAACATCCCTTGCATGACCCTGGGAAAGTGCTCCACAGAAGCTTAATTAATTCACAGCACAGCACTAACCGGGAATTTGTTGCTGTTGTTGAGTCATTTCAGTCATGTCTGACCCTCCATGACCCCATTTTAGGGTTTTCTTGGAAAGATACTAGAGTGGTTTGCCATTTCTTTCTCCTGCTTATTTTACACATGAGGAAACTGAGGCAAACAGGGTGAAGTGACTTGCCCAGGGTCACTTTGAAGACTTTTCCCAGTCTCCCCTCTACCCTTACCCCCAGCCTATCACCGCTAGTGCCTTTCCTATGAGATTTTGTTGTTGTTGTTCTTCAGTCATTTTATTTATGTCTGACTCTTCATGATCCCATTTGGGGTTTTCTTGGCAAAGATGCTGGAGGGGTTTGTCATTTCCTTCTCCAGTTCATTTTGCAGATGAGGAAGCTGAGGCAAACAGGGTCTGAGGTCAGTCTAAGATCAAATTTGAATTCAGGTCTTTCTGACTCTGGGTCTGGCACTCTATCCACTGTACCACCTAGGAATTTGCCATCTAATAAATAACAAAGTAATCAGAGTCCTGGCTGATACAAAATGGAAGGGGGAAGGGGAAAGATTAGTCAATCACCAAACAAGTATTTATTAAGAGCCAATCGTGTGCCAAGCACTAGACTGGGGTAATTTCATCCCAACATCATGGTCACCTCAGTCTGGGTTTCTGCTAACTCACCCTTTGCTCCTGTCTCTGCCCTTGATTAACTTTTGACAAGACATGTTAATCCATCAGAAAGGATTTATTAAGTGCTACTATGTACCAGGCACTGTGCTAAACACTGATGATACAAAAACCTGATTCCTGCCCTCAAGGAGCTCACATGCAAAAAATTGTACATGCAAGATATAAGCAATATAAATAGAAGATAATCTCTTAAGGCAACTAGATGGTCCAGTGGATAGAGTGCCAGGCCTGGAGTCAGGAGGACCTGAGTTCAAATCCAGCCTCAGACACTTACTAGCTGTGTCACCCTGGGCAAGTCACTTCACCCAGTTTTTCCAAGTATAAAATGAGCTGGAGAAGGAAATGGCAAACCACTCCAGTATCCTTGCCAAAGAAACTCCAAATGGGGTCACAAAGAGTCAGACATGACTGAAAAACAACAACAAAAATCCCATAGGGAAAGCAGTAGCAATGGCGTGCTTGGGGATAGAGGTGGAGTGAAAATTGGGAAAGACCTCTTGCAAAAGGTGATATTTGAGCAGATTCTTCAAAGAAGCCAGGAGGCAGAATATTCCAGGCACCAGGGATAGCCAGTCAAAATGCATGGAGTCAGGAGATGAAGTATCTTCTATAAGGAACATCAAGGAGATCAGTGTGAATTGAAGCTAGTGTCCATTGTATACACAAGGGAGTAAAGTGTGAGAAAACTAGAATGACAGTAAGGGACCTGGTTGTAAATGGCTTTAAATGTCACATAGGATTTTACATTTGCTCCTGAAGAAATAGGGGGAACCACTGGAGGGGCGTGTCTGTGTGTGTGTGTGTGCGTGTGTGTGTGTGTGTGTGTGTGCTAAAGCTCATAACTAAGCATTAAGAAAATCACTTAATTATAATTTTAGTTGTCCTATATTAAAAGGGGGTGAGGGTATGGAAAATAATCTCTGCCCCCTCCCTTAACCATGGATTAATGAATAAGGTTGACTGGGGAGATAACATTGATATACACAAGTCATTTGAGAAAAATAACATTTCATAAATGTGTGAAGTAGTTGCAGTTCTCAGAAGCGACCATAGAAAATCAAGATTTGCTTTGTACAGTAAATTAATTCCCATGTTGAATTATTTGGACCATCAGATTCTTAGCAGTGAAATCAATTTTGCATGGCTGTGGAAAATGCAAAGATGAAATTGAACACACTGATTTTTCTGCATATGATTTCAGACTGCTGAAATTGGAATGACAGAGAACGTTGGAGACAGTGGTCTGAGATTTGAGATCTGGTTCCGAAGGAGGCGGAAATCCCAGGATACATACATCCTTCAAGCAAGTTCAGCAGAAGTGAAAATTGCTTGGACAAATATCATAGGGAAAATCCTTTGGAGACAAGCTCTGAGGAACAGAGGTATAGAACATGAGGAAGTTACAAAGCAATAGCAGTAGTTCTTGCTGGAGAGGGCTCATTCAAATTTCATTTTATATGATAGTTTAATATGATAGAGACACAAGACAGGTCATATTACATCTTGAGCATAAAGAATTCAGCCATGTGAGTCAGAGCAACTATTCTCTGGAGCTATGGAGAATTAGCTACCTGAAAGCTATAAATACTTTACACCTAGAGGGGAGTTTTTTAATAGGTGGTTGGGAGAAAGTCCACTTTAATGAAACTGACCTCTCCATAGCTGCCCCCTACTCTTGCCTGTTCAAATGGCCTTTTCCCAGAATTCATTTCCATTTGATTTTCGGGATCTGCCGGGCTAGAAGCTGCTGCTTTCTCTACCCCCATGCTCTTCCTTCCCATTAGCTAGGTGACTCCATTCACATGCTCCCCTGCTGCCAGGACCCCAGAGAGCCACAATGGAATTAGTTCCTACAGCTATAAAAACTGAGCCAAAGACAGAGAGCTCCCTCGGTTATCCACATCCTTCTTGTTGCCGCAGGGCTGTTTTCTTGTTTCGTCTATCTTCGGCTCCTACAAATCTCTCAGATCATGACAATAGTTTTTCGTTTTCGACGGCCTGCCTTATTCAACTTTGCACTTTAGTCCTCCTCTCTCCTGTTTGTCAGTTCAGTCTCTCTATTGACAGATGCCCTGAAACAGTAAATATTCCCTAGTAAATTGTCAATTAAGATCCACTTAAAGAGCATTGGATTTGGAGTCAAAGGACCTGGCATTGAATCTTGGCTCGGCTTTTTGCAATCTGCGCATCATTGGGCAAGTCACATGACCTTTCTAGGAACAATGTCCTTTGAGAAAAGAGGGAATGGGCAAGATGACTCCTAACATTCCTTCCAGTTGAAAATCTACAATTCTGTGAAGTTTCTCTCTCAAATATCACACACGTTTCTATTTTAGAACTCAGGATGCAAGAAATGGTATCTATGGGAATAGGCAACAAGCCATTCATGGACATCAAACCCAGCGACGCAGCCATAAGTGACCGGGCAATAGATTACATCATGAAGGGAACAGGTGCCACTTATTACTTTGCTCTTCCTTCTTTCTTCTACTGGAGAAACTTGACTTTAAAGATAAAACACCAGACTTGGAGCTTTGGTGGCTTAGGGTCAAGGATTTTATGTATAACAATCACAGTCTCACGAACAGTAAGGTCTCATAACCAATGAATGATCCCCTCATTGAAAATGTAGGAGAAGCAAAATAATGAATTTTCTAATATGTGGTAGTTGTATTTCCAGACTAATATAATGCAAAGTTTGCATCCCACTTGAGCACTCGTTTACTTAAGAGGCAATAGAGAGTTATTAAAAATTTACTGAAAGATTTTGACATGATATAAGGTGGGAAACTTCATAATTATTGCAGCTATCTCAAAGTGAAGAGTGGGCTGCCTTGGCGGGGAACAGGCTTGTTCTCACTTACGGTGTTCAGGTCCAAGGTGAAAACCACTTATTGGTTATGTCATAGAGGAGTTTCCTAATCAATATCAAGTTGTATTTCTCTGAGCTTCTTCCAGCTTTGAGGTTCTGAGTTTTGAAGAAGAGGGTATTATGAGTGGAGCTATGCCCTATGAAGGTTAACCTGAGGCTGGCCATGATGGTGCATGGATGTAATCCCTACTGCCACAGAGCTCAGGTTTTCTGAGCTGTAGTACTCAAATCAGGTGTCCACCTTAAGACCAGAACTAATACAATGAGCCCCCTAGAGTAGGAGAATATCAGGCTACCAAAAGGAGATGAACTGGCCCAGATTGGAAACAAAGCAGATCAAAGCTGCTTTGCAAGCAGTAACTGGAGTGGCCTCTGTACTTCTAGCCTAGGGCAAGATAGAAGACTTAGTCTGAAAAAGGGAAGCTAAGGGAAGGAAGGGAAGGGAAAGGAAGGGAAGAGAAAGGAAAGCAAGAGAAGGAAAGGGAAGAGAAGGGAAGGGAAGAGAAGGGAAGTGAAGAGATGCAATAAGATTAATCCATCAGTGGCTTGGATGAGAACAGAGAAAAGAGGCAAGACTAACATTTCCTTTTATTCTTTTGTCTCTAGAGTCAAGATCTAGGGCATCTATAGCTGTATCTTCATTTGATCACTCAACACCCTTCAAAAGGCCCCACTCTACCATCTCCAACAGCAGCACCTCTTCCTCAAGCAGCCAGTCCTCGTCTTCAATTTTGGGGTCACTAAACCTGCATGTTTATTCTAGTCCATCTTATTCAGGTCTGCTAAGCCCTCCCTTCTATCATTGGACTTATGACATTAAAACTTGTATAGAAGAAGATGAGCTAGAACAGGAAATAGGAAGCCAGCCATCAATGAGTAAGTGGATTTGTACATGGTACTAAAGAATGTTAAAATTACGTGAGGTGGGGGGAGGGGCGTACAATAGTGGGGGTGGGGTGAAGTTTACTGATAAGGCTGGTTCAGGTGCTCAGATTCACTGAGTTAGAGGGAGATATCTCGACTGCCTAGGCCACTGAGTTTGGATATGTCTTAAGGTGTTTCTGATTACTGCAAATGTTGCTGTGAAATTCTCAAAGTTAACTCACTTTAACTTAAAAATATAAATATATACCACAGAGTAGTTACAAGAGGGGGAAAAATCAACGAACAGAGAGCCCAACTCTTCACTTTAAAAGTGATTTTTAGGGGCAGCTGGGTGGTGCAGTGATGTGAAGTCAGGAAGACCTGACTTCAAATTCTGCCTCAGACACTTGACACTTACTAGCTGTGTGACCCTGGGCAAGTCACTTAACCCCAATTGCCTCACCAAAAAGCAAAAAAATATTAAAAAGATAAAAACAAGTGATTTTTAAAGTAGTTATCAAACATAAAGATCCAAGGAAAACTAAAAAGTTGGCAGTTATTACAACAGCTCCAAGTAAAAGTTAGCAGTTATTACAGTTTCTCCTAGTCACCAGCAGGGATTACATGAATTGATGAAGATGAAAAGGAATTAATATGCAGAGAATGTTGTAATTTAGGCTTTCCAATATCAAAAGAAATTAGACTTGAAGCACAAGAGGTTGGGGCACTTATGTTCTATAAATTAATAAACTGATTAATGTTTGATTAAACTGCATTATTATTATTCCTTCTGGTCTGTAGTTACCGAGAGTTCTGAGTCATCACAGTGCACCTCTGGTGAGAGCATCAGTGGCGTTAGCAGCTCAGCCCACCCTGGGCTGTCTCAGCTTCTTCCAGACACATTTTCAGATGAAAGTGCTTCAAATCCTGGCTCCAAACCCCCCTCCCAGTGCACATCACCAGCTCTCCCTGGGAAGAATTCCAGGTTGAAAAATGATAGTAATCAGTATATTACAACAGTAAGTATTTGTCTTTTAATAAATTCATGCTATATCCATGTTATCTATTGACTTTGAATTCACCTGGCTTCAATTCAGCAAGCATTTAATGAAGACATGCTATGTGTGAGCCACTATGATAGGTGCTGAGGATTCAAAGACAGAAGGAAAAACAGTCCTTCCATTCTCCCTTCCCTCAAGAGACTTTCATTCTATTGAGGGATACAATATGTAAATTCAAAATAATCTGGAGGGAGGAGGAGGAAGAGGAGGAGAGAGAGAGGGACAGGGAGAGGGGGAGAGAGAGAGAGAGAGAGAGAGAGAGAGAGAGAGAGAGAGAGAGAGAGAGAGAGAGAGAGGAATCAGAAAAGACTTCCTGTAGAAGGTAGCACATGGACTGAATTTTGATAGAACGTAGAAATGCTAAAAAGTAAAGATGAGGAAGGACTGCAGTACAGGTAAAGGGGACAGCCCATGCAAAGGCAAAGAGGCAATTAGGGAAACAAAAAGTTGATAGACTATAGAGTACATGAAGGGGAGTTCAGAACCAGCCTAATCCATGTGACCTTCAATGGTGGAGCTACTCATGAGCTCATATTCCATTGGTGAAACATACTTCTAGCACTGAAATTGAGTGAGGAAGAGTTCTCTTTTAGGTAGCAAGGCAGCAAAGCAGGTCCCATCCCTAACATCCATGTGGGGCACCAGGGACGTAGATAGGAAATGCAAATTTTATGGCATAGTTTTAATTCTAAAACAACTCTAAATGGCCTCCCATTATAAAACCTCCCAATGAACATTCATTCCCTTAATTAAATATGTTGAAAGTGCTAGACTCTGGGAGAGTTACAAAGATAAATAGGACTTAGACCCCTATACTTATGAAGTTAGTAGGTATTGTAATCTCACTAGTCTCTGTGGACAGTTTTAGGACTGCCCATTCCACTTTTGGACAGTTCTACTAAGGAAGAAATTAGCTAGCAGAGCAGTGTAGTTCATTGAGCCCCACTGCGTACAAGACTTTTTGCTTTTCTTATAAGATTTGCACCAATAGGAGGGCAATGGGAGTTAATGGTGGTCTTGACATGACTCTGGCCAGCCCTCTGCTTGTCAATCAACAGAAACTGAAGAGCCTGTCTACTTAGCATAACATTCATTTTTGTGGGAACCACCATGATAGAGAACCCAAAGTAACACCTATTGGTCCTGATAGGAGAGCTTTAAACAAAGTACAATTTCAAACTGGTCATAAAACCAATACTCCAACTTGGATCCGTGCCTTAAAGGCACTGATGAAATTGTGGTTTAAGTGAGGCAGCTTGCAAACCAAACCCATTAGACAATCCCATGGTATTTACAGTCCATGTAGCTGGTGCCTTTTTCTTAGTAGTCCTTCCCAATTCAGAAAGTCTAGGTGGATAAGAAGGCCCTGCCATTACCTTGTTGAATAAAAGAAGACAATGACCAAGAATTCTGCTTAGCCAGACTCTCTTCAACAACTGAATTCCACTGAGATGCTATAAGAGTCTATGACTGTCCATCTAGCCATTCCAAAGAAAATTCTAGTCACTAGTATTAGTAATCATTAGGGAATTAATACAAATATACATTAAGAGAAAACATCATTTCAACTCAACTCAATAAGCATTTTTGAGCACTTATTATATGCTATGTATTAGTCACTATCTAGGCCCTGAGAATACACAAATAAAAATAAAACAATCCTTGTTCTCAAGAAGTCTCCCGGGGGGAAACACATACATAGCTAAGTCCATACAAAAGAATTTCAGAAGAAATTTCATAAAGGGCCTTCCAGGTCAATAACTGAACCTGGTAATTGTCTACTTACAAACTATATTAAGCACTTAAGGGCAATACAAGAGAAACAATAGAACCTTTTATAATAAGAGGCCATTTAGAGTTGTTTTAGGAGAATTAAAACTATGCCATAAAATTTGCATTTCCTATCTACGTCCCTGGTGCCCCACATGGATGTTAGGGATGGGACCTGTTTTGCTGCCTTGCTACCTAAAAGAGAACTCTTCCTCACTCAATTTCAGTGCTAGAAGTATGTTTCACCAATGGAATATAAGCTCATGAGTAGCTCCACCATTGAAGGTCACATGGATTAGACTCGGACATCGTTAGAGCTTGAGGGTACTTCAGACATCATTTGGTCCAACCCCCTTATTTTACAAATGAGGAAAGTTGAGTCCCAGGAAAGTTAAAGTACTTGTCAATGATCACCTAGTAAAGGGAGGGCAGGGAGTAGAATCTGGGTCTCTTAGGTCCCACTATATGACTCTGACCTTTATACCACCATCCTTCCTTGTTAAGGGTGATAACACTGGTTTGGGAAAGGAGACTTAGTCTCATCTTGGAGGATTTAAAAAGATAAGATGACTTTTGAGCTAACTGGGACAACCAGACTTAGATGAAACAATGTCACATTGCCAAGAATTAAGAATTAAAATTGATCATGGAAAAAGGGGGATAAAAATATGAAACTGAAAAGTCAAGGCAATGAACTAAAGATGAATCACCTTTTTTTTTCAAAGAAAAGTTAATCTTACACTCATTGTACAAAAATTTGTTCTGTCTTTAAATACAAAGTTCCAGAATGTCATCAAACCTCCCTAATGTTAATTTAAGAATTAAAGATTTAAATTTTAAAGTTAAAGATTTTAAAAATCTGTTTGTTCTCTTCTGAGGGAGGAGAAAGTAGCTTCTACAGTCCTGACAGATGGGAGATCAAGAGATAGTTCATGGACTAGCGCTGTTGGTCCTTTAGCCAACTACATACTTCATACTACAATGAATCTGTGATCTCTTCAGGGTGTTACTCCCTCCATTGGTACAGATCACAACCCTTCCACTCCTCATTTAATATTTGTTTTCCCTAAATCCCCTTTAGTAGATCTCCGGGATGTATTAAGAACCACTAACACAGTTAAATAGTTAGGCAGTGAAGAATTGAGGATATTAAAACTAAACTCAACAGCTTAGATGAGGACGGATGCTCATAGAAAAGATAATTAGCAAATAAACAATCCATTCATTCACCAAGATTTTGTTAATTACCATTTCTAGGTAGTAGTTGCTGTGAGGAATATAAAAGAAGTAACAGATTTGGCCCTTCAAGTGGAACTTATGGTGTAATTAGGCTAAAAAGAAAAGCATTAGCAATCACAACAGGACATAAAAGACTTTAAGATGATCTAAGACAAACAATGTACAAGGGCTTAGAAATGCAAAGTAAGACATTGATCAGAGTATCAGTCAATTAATCAACAATCATTTCACATGGCCAACCATGATCCAGTCCCTGCATTAGGCACTGGGGATACAAACACAAAAAAAAAATAAAATAAAATAAATAATAATTAAAAAAAATCCCTGTTCTCCAGGAAGTTACCTTCTATGGGAGAGAAAATATGTAAATTTGGAGAGAATAAATGTAAAATAAGTACAAAGTAGTTAAATATAGAGTACTTTAGGGAAGGAGGCCCCTAGAATTGGATCAAGTGCAAAACAGTCTGAAGTATAGAGGCTGAAAAGAAGAAAGACATCTTACGAGGAAAGAAAAGCAAAAATGAAAGCAGAGGTGGATAAAAATGCAAAGATGGCCGCAGAGAAAGTCTGGCTGGAGACATGGGGCTATAATGAGAGCCAATGAGAGAAGAGGATGAGTAGCCATGGTGAGGCTGGGAGAAGAAAACATGTAGTGACTTTCGAAGGTTAATTCAGGCTTCAGAGCCTTTTCTGAGAATGTTACCAAGGATGCTGGCTCAGTTACCATCCTCTCTAACTCATAATGCATACCTCTTTTTCCATAGTCATGTCCCTCCCAAGATCTAGTAAGAAAGTGGCAGGGGGAATGAATTAACCTACAAGTCAGTCAGCCAGCAAACCAGCATTTATTAAGCACTTACTATGTGTCAGGCACAGAGTAAATATTCCTATATTTTTATATCCAGCCATATTTTAGCGGTCCTCTGAGTCAAGAGGATGGGCAATAGCTCTTGGAACAGTCAGTTGGTTCAGGGGAAGTTGTATACCCAAAATTGTCTAGGATAAGCAATGACATTGGTTTTAATTAGTTGATTTCCCTCCCTTTTTTGTCAGAACAAAACCTCTCATGTATTAGGCTTCTCAACAGTGGTTTGACTGGCAGGCAGACATTCAGTAAGTAACTGGTTTTTTCAGCTCAACACTGGGAAGAGGGATGCTCTGAGCTGCCACATCTGTGTCAAAGTTAACAATCAATTAAATTGGAGCATGCAGACATTTCTCCAGGCTGATTTGCATGTCTAACCATATTAAAAGAGCACCGGAAGCTTAATTGCGTTGCCTGATATTAACAATGCTTCCTTCCTAAGGGGGGGTTCTGCCAGAAAGGTAATGTAACCCTCCTCTCTGCTGCTTCTCCTTCCCTGAATTTTCCCCTCCATGTATCATGTGTCCAGCCACTTCTTATCTTAGGGATGGATTGCGCTGTTAACAGAAAGGTGACTTTTGCAGCAGCCAAACTCTACCCACTAGGAGTGTGGACAATATTTTCACTTAGGAAACGCAATAAAATATGGCAGTTCTAATCCCATCCCATTTATCATCAGCTTTACAAACTGCCTAAGACCAGGATGAATGACCAGAGAACCTGGCATAGGTTAACCCAACACCAGAAGCTTAAAAATAAAAACAAAAATACCACACCTCTTGACTTATTTTGAGAATAAGTCAATAGCGTGCCTCGACAAGCTTTCTTTTACCTGTCTGCCAACACTTGTGACATAGTAGGTACATAAGGAAGGTCTGAGGGAAAGAAATGACCGTTAAGTAATTTGCCTGGGATTAAGAGATTACTAGGAATTAAAGAATAGGGTAATCGTCTCTGTTCTATTCACCTACCTACTGCTTTCTTTCCCCCTTTCCATTTTACCTATTCTTTCCTGTATTCCCTTTTCCCTTCTCCTCCCTTCCCCTGTCCACCTACCTAGACCACCCAGCCTTTTCAAGTAATGAGTTCTCAGTAACTGTTAAAGTACACAGTTCTCACAATAGATGCTCAAATACTGGACAGAGAAGGCTGATAGGGAGGGATTGCTTTGATAGGAAGGGACAGCCCAGTCTGCTAGTCCATTTAGGGATCCCATAGGAACATCCTGCATTCTGTTTCCTCTAGTCATCTGATCCCAGGATATGGGAAGAGTTCAACTGAGGAAGATTTATAGTGGACAGTGCTGCCCACAAGTGAATCAAAAGCAAGACCCCACAAACAATATACTTTGGAATTTTGAAAAAGATTCAAACCAAGAGAGCATCAAAGCAGAATTCTCAGCCCCAGCTGGAAGCTTATTCCCAACTCGACTCCCTGAGGCATTCTTATGCATCTTCATCCATGAGGAATCTCTAAGCTTTGCTGGCTGTCACAGCCTTCAGCTTGAGCCAGGGAATGCCTCAGTTTTTAAATAACATTTTCAGAGGGCAGTTAGGTGGTGCAGTGGACAGAGCACCAGCACTGGACTCAGGAGGCTCTGAGTTCAAATCCATCCTCAGATAGTCACTAGCTTTGTGACCCTGGGCAAGTCACTCAAACCTGATTGCCTAAAAAAAAAATATTTTCAGGACATATCTGTATGCTAAGAGTTAGGATGACCTAGTAGCTAGAGAGCTAGAAATCAGTCTGACCTGAGTACTACTCTGGTACCTATTATGTGACCCAGTTTAACCTCAAGCAACCTTTCAAGGTTGTAAATTACAAAACAGGTGCTGAACTGCATTGGGAGAGAGAATTTCCTCAGCTAATTCTTTATACCAATGAAATTACAGATCTGGCCTCCCCAGAAATATCTTTGTGGTACAATGAATTAATGGCCTACCTTGTTCTTGGGCTGGGGTGCGCTCCCACTTAAAGAAAAGAGGACCCTCTGCCTCCAGAAGGTCTCTGACGGTTGAATCCCTGGCCGGTCCATATCCCTAGTTTCATACACACTGCTTTTCTTTACGTTCCGGTGACATGACACCCTCAAAGCACCATCCCAGTATACCTGATATGCCACCCATTGGGGTCATCATAGTCTCTTATTAAAATTAATTTCTTCCAACATAAAAAAATGTTTCCTATATTTTTACATCCAACCACATGAAAGAGCTAGCTTAACCTGCTGGTGCACGCCTGGCTAGATGCTGGGAATATATGAAGTCTAGATGATATACAGTCTCTGCATTTGTGGAGCTTACACTCTGGTCATAGGATATAACACAAATAACCATAGGACAACATACTACCTGAGAAACTCAGGTGAGAAGTGGAAGTCAAATGTGATATATCTCTGTGATAATTGAAGGAGAAAATATCATTATCAAGAAATTAGCTCCAAGAAAGGAAAGGGAGATTTGTAAGATTTAGAACTTGAAGACACTATTGGAAGTGATCTCCAAATGTCTCGTTTTGCAGATGAGGAGACCAAGGCCCAGAAAGGTAATGTGATGTGCCCAGACTCACACAGGTTTTAAGTAGCAGAGCCTTTTGATTCTGAATCCCATGCTTTTTCCTAATATGCCATAATTACTACACCATATTTCCCCCCTCAATAGAAAAAGGGGCTGCTACCCTCCCAAAAAAAGTACAGTACAAGTAAGTTCCAATTAGTGTAAATAATGGATCTCATGAATGGTTGCATTATTCAAATTTGGATTGCCTATTTCCATCAAGATGGAACAACTACCAGATTTTATATATAACTCTAAATAATATGAATTCAAATAATGATACCTCTTCACTTTATTCATTATTCATTGTTCTCACTAATCAGGACCTGGGTATATCTGCAGGGATTGGCAGCCAGAGTGGCTTGCTTGTCTTAGCCAAGGTCTTCACCAGTGTTATGGTATGTAACCAAAAAAATTCATGAGAAGTTAGAGTGCGTAAACTGTTCTGATGTGGACCAGTCAGTGACAATAAACTTACTGTGTAAAAAAAAATCAGGCTTAACCAACACCCATTCAAAAAACATTTTATATTAAACAAAGACTCATTTCCCACTAATGGTACTATAAACGAGCAAAGCTTTGTCATAGATGCTTTCCCAGAATTAATTAAGAAATGTATTCACCTATATGTTTAGAAAAAAAAAATAAACTCAAGCCCAGTGAATGGAAACACTATAAAAGCAAATGGTTTCATTCATGTTAATGCTTCGGTTCATCCCACCTCTGACACTTAACATGTATCTGACATTGGGCAAGTGACTTCATTTCTATGGACATCAATTTCCTCATTTGTAGAAGGAGGGGTCTGGTTTTAGATGATCCCTGACATCCCTCCCCACTCTGAATCTAGGATCATAAGAGCAATGCGATCTAACCTCATGCCAGGTAAAATCAGATGAGGCTGCCACTGCTGCGCCTGCTGCTGCCAGCCTTGGGGTAACTCCAGGCTGATCTGTGACAATGTCCCTCAGGGAGGAACTTCCTGCAAATGTGCGTATTAATAGTTACCTTGTCATTCTAGGGTCAGCATCACAAACCTAGAAACCGCATCTTATGCAAGGACTATTTTGCCCACAGAAATTCCCCTTTGATGTTGGCATGTCACTTTATTCCTGGGACCCTGAGGCACGCCGACTTCACTGAGAGCCAATAAGGTTGTTATGGGTGAAGTTATACCCAGGGAAAAGGGCGGGGAACAACATAAAAACTCAAGAGTTCAGGGAAGGACCTCAGAAGTCAATTAATCTAGATAGGACCTGAAGAAGGAATCCTCTCTTCTACAAGTGGTCATTCAACCAATTCTTTAAGGCGCTTCAGTGATGGGGAAATCACTACCTCCTGGGGATATCCATTGCAATTCTGAGCAGCTCTCTTAAGGGATTTCTTTTACATTGGGCCAAAGTCATCCTCCCCATGGTATCCATTAGTCCTATTCGTACGTGTTAGGGCCAAGCTGAACAAGTTAGATTCATCTTCCACGTCTAAACCTCCAAATATTTGAAGATTTCGGCAGCAGAGTGGAGCAGAAATAAACGTTATCTCTCTAATAGAAGGACTTAGGTTCAAATCTCACCTCTGTCACTTTCTACTTGTGTAACTTTGGGAAGTGACTTCACTGGGCCTCAGTTTCCTCATCTGTAAAATGAGGGAGTTGGGCTAGATGATTTGTAAAGTCATTTCCAGATCTAGAGCTTTGATACCATAATCATGTTCTCCATGAGTTTTCTCTTCTCAAGGCTAATTATCTCCCATTGCTACAACTGATTCTTGTATAGCATTGTGTCCTTCCATTGTCCTGGTTGCCTTCCTCCAGATGTCCTCCAGCTGATCAGTACTCTTTCCAAGACATGACCCCTTAAAGTGAAAACACCATCCCAGGTGTGTGGTTGACTAGATTGTAAGATAATTTGTTGTTGTTCAGTTGTTTCAGTCACGTCTCATTCTTTGTAACCCCATTTGGGGTTTTCTTGGCAAAGATACTGGAATAGTTTACCATTTCCTTCTTCAGCTCATTTTACAGATAAGGAAACTGAAGCAAACAGGGTTAAGTGACTTGTCCAGGATCACACAGATGTCAAGTGTCTGAGGCCAGCTTTGAACTCAGGAGACTCTTCCTGACTCCAGACACAGCACTCTCTCTACTACACCACCTAGCTTCCCCTGGAGGATAATAACTTCCATCATTCTGAACCCTAGTCTCCTATTAGCCTAAGCTCACAGTTGCTTTTTTGTCTACATGTCACATTATTGACTTACATTGAGTTTCTAGTCCACTCAAACCTACAGGTTCTTTTCTTCTCAACTATTGTCTAGCCATATTTCCCAAATCCTATGCCTACTGGCTGCAAATGTAAAACTTTATATTCAACTTCATCATATTACCTTTGACCCATAGTTATGGCCTGTTGAAATCTCTTTGCATCTCAATTTTGTCATTCAATGAGTTAGCTGACTCTTCTACCTACCTTCATGTTAACTGTAAAGCTGATAAGGAAGCTGTCTTTATTGAAAGCATTGGTATCAAGTCAAGACACACAAAAAGTCAAGCTACTGGCCTACCATTTTGAAGTATCCATTTTTTTTTTCATCTTTTGAAAATTTGGTACATTTTGCCTCTCTCCAGTTTTCAGTTACCTCTTTTGTTTTCTATACTCTTTCTCGATATCACTGGTGACAACGGCTCAGCAGCTCTTTCCAAGTTCCCTGGGATAGAGTTGGTCCCAGGCTTTATAGAGTGGTAGGTCTTGAGATCCCATCTGCTTTCCAACAACCTAGGGTCCTCATCAGTCTGTGCCCTGTGTTCCCTTAGCTAACATTTCTATAGTGCTTTTTTTCAGTTTGCAAAGTGCTTCATATATATATTGTCTCATCTGATCCTTGGCAACAACCCTGGGAGGGAAGTTCTATTACTACCTTTATTTTGTAAAGAGAGAGGCTGAGACTGACAGAGGTTATGTGACTTGGTCAGGGCTACATAGCATGGAAAATGTCTGAGAAAGCATTTGAACACAGGTCTTCCTGACTCCAAGTCCAGCATTCTATTCACTGCACCACCTAGCTTCCTTATCTACCATGAATTCAAAATGGCACAATCACTACCTTCCAAACATTATTGTCATTTCTGTTTGGGCAGACATTCTTTGCTTATGGTTTAGAATCAGATCCAGAATAACATTTGCCTTCATTGTTTCTTCTATTAACAAGGCAAGGGGGTAGGAGGAATGGGATGAAGCAACTAATCCCCTTGACTGATTTAAGGACCTTACAATGATAAAGGAAGAGTTAATGAAAAACATTCACTCCTATTACTCTCTCTACTTCATTGACTGACTGCAATACTTCAGAAGATATGTAACTTTATCTGTGTGAATACTCTTTCTGCTAATGCAGGTTGCAGCCCCCAACCCCAACTCAAATGTTTTCATAGGTTGCTAAAAGGGGGAAAAACGTTATATCTTGATGGCCAGCCTTCTGGTGATGAACTTCTTTGTTGAACAATACAGTATCATCTGTCACCAGCCGGTCGTCAGTCACTCAGGTCTCTCAGGTCTTTCCATCTTGGTATGACCTGCTAGAGCTCGTGCTGCCTTGGAATGCTCTGAGAAGCCAGTGTCACCTCCATGCCCCAATAAGGCAACACAGGAGGACTGTAGTGAAAGATGTTTGGCACCAAATTCATTCGTGTACATTTGGGCATACGCGCAATCTATATAAAAAACATATATGTATCTACATGTGTATATTTGTAGCTATATCTGCATGTGCATGTAAACATATTATCACAATAACAGCTAACATTTACATAACACTTAAGGGTTGCAAAGCTCTTTATATATATTATTTCATTTGATCCTCAGCACAACCCTGGGAGTTAGGTGTTATCATGATCCCCATTTTAATGAGGAAACTGAGACAGAGAGAGATTGAGTGACTTGCCCTGGGTCACACAGCCAGTAAGTGTTTGAGACCAGATCTGAACCCAAGTCTTCCTGATTCCAGGTCCAGAACAGCTGGTTAGTATCTAAGGAAGGATTCAAACTCAGGTCTTCCTAACTCCAAGGCTAATACTCTATCCACTATGGCAGCTAGGTACTGCAAGGAGCTTCCCTTTTGCTTTATGTGGAATGATTAGGTACCAGGGCAGTAGATGGGGTATAAATATTAAATATTTCTCTGTTTGATCAGAGGGTCATTGGTTTTCAGAGCCGGAAGGGACCTTAATGAGCATCTCTTTGCCATATTTCAGGATAATGGATAGAAATAGCAATGCTTTTTTTTTTTTAGCAGATGCCACGTTACAAAGCCATTCATGCACTCCCATCACTTGCCAGCTAACATTAAGAAAAACCACCTCTTCATTAAGTACATAGACCTTTGCCTGTGCCATCTGACCAGCTTCCCCACATCTTCACACTCTTCTCAACTCTGTTCCCATTGAGTTTCCTTTACTTTTTACTTTGGGCTTTCTCTTTTATCCCTACCCACCTTTTTCCTGTGCCCCTGCCCTACTCTAAGACCATGGTTGAGAGAAGAAATTGGTAGGGAGAGGAAGAAGGGGGAGTGGTGTATGGTCCTAAAAATAGTGATACTGGGGAAAATGCACTCTGACTTCCAGGAAGGGGCTGCTGCAGGCTTGGGAGACATGGGTAAGGCATGTTTGCACTGCATGGTTGGTGGTCATTTTTCTTTGGCAGCATCATAATATGATGTAAAGACACTGCTCTTTTCTTGAGGCTTTCTCTCTGAGTGGCTTTGGATTCTTTTGTCAAAATGATTCAATGTTCTGTCTGTCGTCTAGAGGGAACAGGGAAGGGAGGAAAGAGGGTGAAGGGTGTGATCAATTACCAGTGTTTTTCTGCAATATTGAAGTCTCCAAAAGAGCAAATAACCATTATATTAACAACAGTCACTGTTTTTACAGCTGTGATTGATCTGAACTTGGTGACATTTGCCACGCAACAAACCATCTCAATACTCTTCTGATCCAGATATGGGAATGTACATCTCAAGAAGAAAACAAGGACTGCATGTCTGCTGTAACATGACATCAGGAAGAAAGGGATCAAGGCAGGGTGACATCTGATGGGCCAACAGTCCCCACATTACAAGGATCAGTAGGGCTGCTTATACCCAAGAAGTCTCCTTTGATGATGATCACTCCAACTTAGACCTATACATCATTTCAACATTCACTTTACCCCAGCTCGGCCACCATTTTGAACCTTTCTAATCCCTGAATTTGCTCCCACATGTCAGGGAGAAGGCTGAAGAGCCTTTAGACTCAATCCCACCTCAGACTGACCAAATATGGGCCTGCCACCCAAAGAAAGGCAACCAGCCCTTCAAGATGGAAGCAAAGGGACTTGAGTAGTGCTGACAAGTCACAAGGGAGACAGAAATATTTCTTTCTTGAAAAGACACAGCCTCTTCCTCTATTGTGAAGGACACATAAATTCAGCCTTCAGGATCGCGTGGGACAAAGGTACTATAAACACCAAAATCACAACTTGGTCCCAGCTGGTGATGCTTTTGTCCCTACACCACCCATTTACTTGCCCTTCTGCATCTTTCAAATAATGATGGACTTAGGTTTTGGTAACAAACTTTTTAATATCAATTTTAAAATGTTTTGTTAGTAGTGTACCTAACCTGCAAAACCAAAACATGGGCTAAATTCTGACTGAAGGAGCGGGTACCTGAAGTGTGCTTCCCATTGAGTTAAGGGAGCAGAGATTGGCCCTAAATATGTATTTTTGAGCACATGTCTGTGTGGGTGTTAAGAACTTTAAATCTTTTCTTTCTTTTCTAACAAGCTTTCCGTAAATAGCTTAGGAGGTATATTAGAAGTTACAGTCAACTCCTGATTATCCACACCATGGAAGGGAAGCCAAGTGGTGCAAGTGTTTGAATGCCACTGAAACTCCACAAAACCAGGCCAACATCATAACTCCACTTGCCTTGGCCAGTTTTCCTGCTAAGCCAAACTAACAGTGCCATGCTCCCAACAACACATGTTTGGAGAATCTCAAGTTGACTCTACTTGGTATTGTGCAATCCTGTCAAGGTAGGCAACCCTAAGGAGTGCACTAACCTCTGAACAAAAACGAAAAAGGTAGAAATAGCCGGAAGCTTTTGTAAATAGTATTTTGGGGCCTCACTTTTAAATTCCCGTAACTAGGACAAGGTCTTGTCTTTTTAAAAGTAGTAGCATCTTCTGCAAGCGTCCACAGAGACAATGTGTATAGATAGAAATGTATGGACCGTTTTAGAAAATGAGAATGATTTTAGTAATGGTTTTTTAAAAGTATTTTCAACCACCTTTTCGGAGATCAAATATGAAAACATTTCATTACCTGTCAGCTGTTGATAACAGTTTACTTTTGTTACTTTGTTTCAATACAGGCTTGTTTAATACTTAAAAGAAATAAACGGAACATTTTTCTACCATGTCACATTTCTTCACTGGTGCAAATGGAAATGACTTTTACTGGGCACCTAGGTGTATTAAAGAGTGAGCATGCTTTCTAGTTTCATTTCTACTCATGAATTTATTGCACTTGACTTGTATTTTTCCCACAGAAAGAAGTTTAGCAAAATGAATCTGTGAACTTGAAAGAAACCAAGGTATGGAGCCCAAGCATTAGGATGACTGAAGGATGACCTCCACTGGGCCATATCCTCTTCACATTCTCTGACTCTGGTTGAGATAATCTACATATGACCTGAGGGCCACAATGTCAGGGCCAGCTTCACATGGCGGGATTAAAAAAAAAAAAAGCATCCCCAGGGCAGCTAGATAGTGCAGTGGATACAGCACGGGCCCTGCATTCAGGAAGACCTGAGTTCAAATCTGGCCTCAGACACTTGACACTTATTAGCTGTGTGACTCTGGGCAAGTCACTTCACCCCATTGCCTCACCCCCCCCAAAAAAAGTATCCCTATCTGAAAACAATATCCTATTTACCAGTTTGATGATACCTCAAGTTATGAGTTCCTTTGACTTGCACCTTCTTATTTCTTGTTATGATACAAATTCCTCTAGGGGAAATAGGGCATCAAGCCTTATACCGTCTAATGTGAAGTTTATCATTCTGAGAATGGGCTTTTATAAATGGAAATGTAGAATAGAACATGAGGATATTAAATACCTGAGGTGGTGCAGGAACTCCACAGAGTAGGGGAAAGGACTCAGAAAGTAAAGGGGGTAGCAGGGAAGCTCCCTTTCAATTTTACAGTCCTGCCTAGGGTTTGAAGGTCATAGCTAATGGCATTCTTCCTCTCCCTGTCATGGGCATCTTGGTCTTTTGCTCTCTCTGTTTTCTCTCTTCTTCTATTCACTTTCTCTTTTCCTCTTCACTTTCTCTGTAGAAGAGGGGGCAGCTCGGTGGCTCAGTAGAGAGAATGCTGGGCCTGGAGTCAAGAAGACCTGAGTTCAAATCCAACTTCTGACCCTTACTAACTATGTGACCCTGGGCAAGTCACTGTCCACCTTACTGGAGAAGGCAAAATCTGTTTGCTCTGTTTTTTGTTTTTGTTTTTTTTGTTTGCTCTGTTTTACTGTTTGCTTACTGGAGAAGGAAAGGCTAACCGCTCCAGTATCTTGGCCAAGAAAACCCCAAATGGTGTCACAAAGAGTCATACATAACTGAAATGACTAAACAACAACACTTGTGAAAAGGATGTGAGACTGTTGACAATGTTAACGGTGTAATAGGAGGAGAGCCTGATGGAGGTCCAGTGAAACTGGGGTTCAACTCCCACTCCTGACATATGCTGGTTGGCGATCTAGGGCAAGTCACTTAAACTCCCATTGCTCTGGGCAACACAGCAAACCTGTAAAATCCAGCGAACGTGATCCATCTGCAGAAGTAATTTCCTCCTGTAGGAGTCCTTTATACCAAAGAAATTCAAAGTCTATTCCCTATCCCCTATCCTACAAAGTTAAAATGGATCTTAAGGAAAACAAAGATTAAAGACAGATCCATTACATCTGTTGGTGGTTCTGTTGAGTTCATTTTTTTCCTCTTTCTTTTTTAATCTTTGGTACAAAGGAAAGCTTGTTGGGTGGGGAAGGAAAGAAAAATGCAGAAATTAGTGTGGCAATCACACTTTAATAAGGTAAAAAGAGGAGAGGGATATAGTGGCAGATGGCCTGGGGACAAGGGATGGGGTGGTAAAGGGAGGCAGGCATAGTTGGGGAAGAGAATGGGGAGGGGAAGAAGTGGAGAATATCACTGCAGTAACCATGAACTAGAATTAGGAGCACTGGGCAGTATAGACACCAAGGAGATGGAAGAGTTCTCAAGTGACAGGAGTTTAAGGTCTCGTTTTTGTAGGGTTTTCAGGGGAAATAGACCAACTCCTATCTGTACCCCCTCAGGGTTAGTTCATTAACTTATCCATATCATCTCAAAGTTATCAGTAAAATTTCAAAGTCCTCATCCCAAAGTTATAAGCACCTTTGTGATCTTCTGCTGATCTAGATTTGTGGAGGTCTGGATTTTGTCTGGAATTTGTATATCTCGGGACCAGAACCTTGATGAGCAGCACCTAGAAGGTTTCTCCTGATTTAGCACATATTAACAGGATGTGAATTTTAGTTAATATATGATACAATTTGTAAATTATGCTCCTGTGATCTTTATAACAGTTTGTACATGACTTCCAGGTTCCCATTTGCCATCTTCTTTCCTGCTCTGGCTACTTATAATTTTATTTATTACACTGACTAGAAGGGGAGGGAGTGCTCAGGGGGACCACAAGAAGATAGATTTTTAACAATGAGTATGCATGTGTGCACTCGCAAACACACAAATATATATATACACATACTCTTCCCCAAAGCCTTTCTAGCTTGTCAGGGTCTGAGAAACTACCACATGATGACAGATCAGAGTGGAAATTTATTGCAGGACGGTTATTATTATAGATGTTTATTTAATTAAAGGGCTTGGAGAGTCCTCATCTATCCTATAGTACTGTCTCCTGATCCTGACATGAATAGTTCCTAACATAAGGGACATGAAGATGCTGTTTTCCTCAAGCTCAGTCCCCTCAACTGGTCAGGCCCCATGATGGCCAAAGCAAAGTTACTTAAAAAGTCCCCCATTTATATGTCTCCCTAAAGGGCAAGTAAGCCCAAGACCACAGAACTCCCCAGACTACCTACTCTGCTTCCATCCCAGCTCCTACAGCCATCATAAAGGGAGAAACCCTTGTGGAAAAGGGGCACACCATCCTGACTAACACTGACTGCTGACCAACACCACTTGTGGGGAAGGGAAGCCAACCTAGCTGTAGCACCCTGGGCTCTCTGAGGAAGAGACATAGGGTAACATTTACAAAGTGAGTCAAACCACCTCAGTCACCACCTCCTCACAGGCCCTCATGGGAGAGAGCCCAGGGCCCTACGCCCAAGAGCCCAGACCACCAGCCCTGCTTCCAGCCTGGACCCTGCATCCACGATCAAGGTGAGCAATCCTTATAGAGGAAGGCTGTTCTTTCCCCTTCCCCAATACCAATTGCTGGCCAACAAACCCAAGATTAATCTTGGGAACAGCAGCATCCAGAGACCACTGGCCTTGATTTCAGCTTGGCCTCCAAGTCAAAGCCAACACTTGTGAAGATGTGGGCACAGGTGTGGCAGCCCCAATCTCCTGGGCAGCCACAGATTCTGAAGACCCCAAAAAAAGTTTCTCATCACTAAAATCCTCAGCACTCTCAAATGGTTCAACATCAGAAACAGATATGGTTTTATTAAAGGAAATGACACACAAAAAAGATGAATTACCATCTGCTATGCCAACTGTACCCTGCGCTGGGAATTTCCGTCTGAGACCAAAACCTTCTTTAGGTGTTGTCTCCCTCGTTGGAGTGTGAGGAAGCACACATTGAGAGCAGGGTCTGCCGTGCTTTTCTATTTGTATCACTAGATCTTAGCACAATGTTTCCTACATATTAACTGCTCAATAAATGTTTTTTCTTTCATTTGTTCATCCATTCACTCAAAGTTAGTGCAATACACAAAGATAACATTGCCCTCCTGAGGAAAAGTCCAGCTATTGCTTCTGATGTTAGCCTAGCTCCCTGTTCCTAGATGATTTCTCAGCTTCTCCAGCTTAGACATTTCACTGACCAGGTTTCTACTCATTCTTCTTATCTCCCATCCTTATATCCCTTATATATTCTGTGTTATGTATATGTGTATATATATATGTATATGTATATATACGTGTGTGTGCATATACATATATGTATGTTATGAATTATATGTAAAATTTACGTCTGCCCATTTGATTTACCCCCCTTCACTTAAAAGTCACAGCCCCCATCTTCCCTTGTCTAGGCCTCTAACCTTGGCCTTGCCTCACTTACCCTTGGATCAAATCCCCCTGCCATCTAACTCCAGCTGATCTGACCACTGACCCAAGTCTTGCATTAACACATCAATTCTAACCCCTGGCTCCAGCCGCAACCCAGTATCACCATCAGTTAATCCTCCCAGCCCACACTTGGGCCCATCAGGCTAGTCCCAGAGCTTAACTGCAGACTACCCAGTCCTATCCCATGCAAAGCCTATCATGAGTCCTTGGTTTTTCCAGGACTCAGCATGAAAAGAGTTTTGTTTGCCTGTGCAAAGTTTGACACTGGCTCCCTCGTGTGGTAGGCACTAAGATCATCTACTTTCTATTCCAGATGCTAAAGATGTACTTATGGATGGTGCAGAGGGTTTAGACTTGATTCCACGCAAAGACCAACTTAGCAGGATTAGACAGAGCTACGTGTCAGTATGTAAGGACGTGTTTTCCCACTCAACCAATTGTTGCCTTTTCTGAGTGAGTTTCAACCAACAGGAGGCACTTGATTCTCTTATCTGACATGACCTCCTTTCATTCATGTTTCTCAGGCTCTATCCTTGTACAGACACTTTCTTTGGCTGGTTATAGTCTCCAAATTCCTAAATATTGATAACCTGTCCTTGTTTTTAAGATGAGATCCCTCTTGGATCTAAATTGTTTTTAATATTTATTTAGTATTTTTTTCTCCAATTACTAGTAAAAATAATTTTTAACACTTGTTTTTTAAATTTTTGAGTTCCAAATTCTCTCTTTCCCTTCTTCCCCTCCCTCCTTTTTGAGAAGGTAAGCAATTTGATATAGGTTATACATGTGCAGTTATGTAAAACATATTTCCATATTAGTCATGTTGTGAAAGAAAAAAAACAACAGAAAAAGTATGCTTCGATCTGCATTCAGACTCCATCAGTTCTTTCTCTGGAGGTAGATAGCATTTTTTATCATAAGTCCAGGGCAGAGCCAAGATGGCGGAGTAAAAGCAGTGACTTGCTTGAGCTCTCCCCCAAACCCCTCCAAATACTTGTAAAAAATAAATGGCCCTAAACAAATCCTAAAGCAGCATAAGTCCTTCAGAGTTATCTTGGATCATTGTATTGCTGGTAATAGCTAAATCATTCACAGTTGATCATTGTACAATATTGCTTTTATTGTTATGCTTGCTTCACTTTGCATCAGTTCAGGTAAATCCAGGTTTTTAAGATCTAAATCTAATGGTCTTGTATCCTTTCATAGGAATGAATTTAAGCATTCCTTCTACGGCATGGTTTCAGGGAATATTGTTTCCTGATAAATCCCTTATCTTCCTTGAGGTCCAGCTTAGGTGACCTTGCCTCTGTAAAGTTCCAGGGTGCCCCTTGATACCACAGCCCCACAAATGGTTGCCAAGCAGCCTCTACTTAAAGGCCTTTAAACCCCAAAAGTAAACTAGCCTTGCTTTCATACTGCAATAGCCTGCCTGAATACAACAGCAAACCAAAAGTAAAGAGATACTTGGGACAAACAGATCCAAGTATTGGCCTGGGCAGAGTCTGAAGCCGAGACCAAAATAGAACTCAGAGGGCAGCATGTGACTGCTCACTCACCCCTGTCCCAGAGACCCAGCACCGTCAGGCCTCGGGAGCAGCTGCCACTAAAAATAGAAGGGGGAAAGAAGCGGCCCCACAGTCTGAGCAGCGCCTCGGAGCAACCCCCTCGGTACTGGTGGGCGCCCAGAGGTGTCATGAAGTCTCTGAGGTTTGCAAGTGCAGAAGCCCTGGTGTCCAATGCCCAGGTGGCCAGGGAGAGTCTGCGAAATGTGGCGTATAACCTCTACCCCCTCCTCTTTAAAGCCAGCTATTTGCTGGAACAAGGAGAAGTGATCCACGACCTGTTGGAAAACTGGCCACTAGCAGAATTCAACCTCGGAAACCTGTTGGGGCCAACGGCAGATTACCCAGAAGACCTCAGCACTCGGGCCTGCAAGATCTGCCTGGAAGCCTGTCTGGTGGGGCTCAAAGACTATGTGCTGAATGACTCCCCGACTTACACCAAGAGGCTGAGAACAGCCAATCTCACCGGCATCCAGGATGTGGAGGTCCAGCTGTGCAAATGTCAGAGGTCTCTGGGGAGGTGGGGCCGGACCGGCCTCCTAGCCAGACTCTGCTTTGATCTGCTGGTAGAGCTGCAGAGGCGACCATTCAACCCGAGCATCTTGGACATCAGCATCGACGTCTTCATCAACTTCTTTGTCACAGAGGGCAACTATGAGTGTGCGCTGCAGGCCCTGATGGTGAGACGCCACTCCCCTCTGAAGGTGCGCTGCGTGGCCTTCCGGGCTGACAGCCTGGGCCTGAAGAAGCTCTTCTATATGCTGCGCCTGGTGGAGCCCGACTCTCTGGAGAAGCTGGAGATGGTCCATAACGTGCACATGGAGATGGAGCACCTACAGGTGTTACTCAGCCACTTGGACTTCCCCCGGCTGGTCTCGCTCACATTGCCCGCGAGAGCCTTCAACGTGCGCCGGCTCCAGGGAGAAGATGAATCGATCCTCACCGCCATTGGGGAGAAGCTGAGCCGGATGTCCCAGCTCAGGGAGCTCAGCCTGGCCTTTTCCATACTGACGGGGAGAACTCGGAAGCTGCTCAGGTGAGATACTGATCCTGGAAGGTTCTGTAACCCATGGTCAGGTTATAGGAAAATTACTAGAAATGCACAATTTAAAAGGTAAGGAGTGGGAGAGACCACCAATCAAAATGAGCATTTCCTAGTCAAGCAGCATGATTCAAGTATCAGAATCTCCCACGCAGATATAAGGCTAAGAGGAGTATGGGGCAGGGGAGATGGGGTAGAAATAAAGAGTAGTTTGGGTACTGTGGTATATTTTTAGCTCAAAGGCAAATCAGTGTATCCCAGCACAAAGAAAGTCATCTAGTCCTGGAGAGTAGGAGCTTTTGTTTCTATCAGGAAATTATCCAGACAATATTACTGGATGTTGGCATTAAGGTCTAGGAGGTTTTTCCTTGGCGTCTATATCTTTTTTTAGTATCTTCAAGCTTTTGGGTCAAGTTCAGATTTTCATAGTTTTGAGTCAGTTACATTCCAACCACATTGCCAAGCATAAATCTAAGCAAAAACTGGATCATGGTAATGGAGGCAGGGGTAATAACAGCTGAAGCAAGAGGTTGGAGGAATAAGCTCTCTCCCTCCCTCTGAGAGAAGGGATGGCAAAAGTGGTGAAGAGGTCACCCAGAGCAAACAGAGGTCGTGGTGGAGATGCAGTGATTTCCTTTGGAATCCTTGGCCAAGTGACGTCACTGGGCACTCATTAGTCTGCTGTTCAAGCAGTCACACTCATAGCCTCTCAGAACCTGAGCAAGTCAAAAATGCCCCATTTTCCAACATAGTGGAAAATAGGCTGAGGAAAGCATTGTGGTAGGCTGGTAAATCTCAGGCGAGTTTGCAAATGAACAATTCTGAGCTACTTCCACCCCCTAGATAAAGGGAGAACTAGAGAGTACCTAAATCAGGGATGGAGCTCGTGAGTTATGACCTGATGTTCTAATCCATTATATGATAATTTTTGAGGTGCATTCTTTGCTAGGTATTACAAATCCTTGCTTAGAGTTTTGCCTCAATCAATGAATCAATCAATACAATCAATTAAGTACAATCAATCCTCCACATTTGCCTGTACTTGTGTGATTTTATTAATAACCTCATTTTCACTTTCAGCAACCCATGCATATTCATGGCTATGTGCAATAAAGAAAAAAATGAGAGGTCAACAGGCCCAAATTTGTGGAGCAGCTGATGTCCTACTAGGTGCTTCACTGGTCTTGCTCACCCTACCATTGTAAAGAGCTCCTTATATATTTGTTGCATATTTCTATTGTTTGCCTTAAAAACTCAAGTTTTGTGTTGAGATGTTAGCACAAAAGGTCACAGAATTCTAAGGAATTGCTAGTGAGAAAAAATGTTTGATATGTTAACAATTTTATTTTGTGCAAAAATGTTTTTTAAAATGGACCATCAAATAGTGTTAAAGTTGTATGTTGCATTTTATGGGTTATTTCATAGTTACTGTGTTGGGGAAAGTACACATTATTAGGATTGATTTGTTATAAAGAATTGTATGCAGGAAAGTGTTTTTTAGCAATCTCTAGTGAAAGATTGTAGGTTTTGGTGGTCTAGGGAAAATAATACCTTATTATCTATAGTTTCAATGTATCAACATTTGTGTTTTTACTTTTGTGTCATTTTCTAGGAATATTACCCCTGTGAAAGATGAGAATTGACTATATGCACTATGTGCCAGGCACTGTGTTATGCACTAGTTATACAAATGTAATGAGTAAAACAAAGTAAGTTAAATACAAGATGGTTTTGGAAGGACTGCAATATCAGTTGGGAGGATCAGGAAAGACTTCATGCAATAGATGATGTCTGAACTGCATCTTAAAACCAGAGAGGGATTCTGTGAGGTCCAGATAAAGAGTGTATGCATTCCAGGCATGAGGAAGGACCCGTCCAAAGGCATGGAGACAAAAATGGAGAGTTATATGTGACTAACAAAGAGACTAGCTTGGCTCAGTTGAGGAGTGAGGAGGAATGCATACTGTCCAATAAAATGAAGAAGACAGGTTGGAGCTTTAAAATATAAAAGAGAAGCGTATGTTTTATCCTAGAGGCAGTAGGGTGCCCATAGAGTTTATTGAGTAGAAGAGAAGGACGTGGTCAGATGTGCACCTTAGAAAAATCATTTTCACAGCACTGGAGAAGGAAATGACAAACCATTCCAGCATCTCTACCAAGAAAACTCCAACTGGGGTCATGAGGAGTCAGGCAGGACTGAAAATACAGAACAACATCAAAAGCAGCATGTAGGAGGGACTGGAGCAGTGAATGAGATACTTGAGTCAGGTAAACCAATGAAGAGACTCTTAAGTTATCCAGGAAAGGGGTGATGAGGCCCTGAACTAAATTTGCAGCCATATGAACAGAAACTGGGAGAATGAAAGATGGCACCTTCAACAGAAATCAAAAGTTTGAAAAAGAGAAGGGGGTGGAGAGAAAGATAATAAGTTCAGTTTTGGACATATTCAAATTGAGATGTCTCCAGCACACCCTCAGGTTTCTTCTATCAGTTGAAAAATGGTGTCAGATATTCAGTAGCGATGGCTGAACAATCTAGAACTGCGGCTTATGTACACTGGGTTTTGGACATTGACATGAGATAGATAATAAACATATGAATTATTGTTGTTCAGTCATTCAGTGATGTCTGACTCTTCATGACCCTGTGAAACGCAGCACACCAATAATGTCCATTGGGTTTTCTTGGCAAAGATACTGGACTAGTTTGCCATTTCCTTCTCCAGTGGATTAAGGCAAACAGAGTTTAAGTGACTTGAGCAGGGTCACATAGGAAGTGTCTGAGGCCATATTTGAACTCAAGTCTTACTGACTCCAGACCCAGTGCTATATCCACTGAGCCACCTAGCTGCCTCTAAACATATGAATACAAGACAATTACTTTTTTAAATTATCAAAATCAATAAGAGCACATAGAACAAATTTTAAAAAATATTGATATACAGAAGAACACTGAACTTGGAATCAGAAGATCTGGGTTTGATACCTAGCTCTTCTACTTATTACCCATGAGACACTAGGAAAATCACTTCTCTCCTGACTTCAGTTTCTTTACATATAAAATGAAAGAGTTTAACTAGACAACCCACATACCATCCCCTCCAAGATCCCTTCTAGCTCCAACGTACTGTGTCTCTATGAACTGAACTCTATTTTTAATCTCTGAAGTTTGAAGATATATTTTCTTTTTTATACATTTTATTTATTTTGTTAAATATTTCCCAATTACATGTAAACAAATTTTAACATTCACTTTTAAAAAATTTTGAGTTCCAAATTCTCTCCCACCTCCTCACCCCTTTCCCCTCATTGAGAAGGCAAGCAATTTTATATCAATTATACATGAGAAATCATGCAAAACAAATCTCCATATTAGCCATGTTGCAAAAGAAAACAGACAAAAAAAAGTAAAAAAGTATGCTTCATTCTGCATTCAAATTTCATCAGTTTTCTCTCTAGAGGTAAGTAGCATTTTTCATCATAAGAATTTGGAGTTGTCTTGGACCACTGCCTTGATTGGGGTAGCTAAGTCTTTCACAGTTGATCATCCTTCACAATATTGCTGTTACTGTGTACAATGTTCTCCTGTTTCTGCTCACTTCACTTTATTTCAGTTCATGTAAGCCTTCCCAGGTGAAGATGGATAGTCTTAAAGATGTATTCAACCTGATTGAGTCATTGATAGTCACGGCATGATTCTCTTTTACAAATTCTATCATTCTCCTGACAGAATTCTGACAGACTTCACAGTGTTAGCAATGCTCACAAACACCATCAAAATAAATAATAATAACTATGGTAAGATCTGATAGCCAACTAGATGCTTTTTTCCTCATCAAATCAGCCTATTGGGCAGTTATCCTCACTATTCCTTTTCCTTGACAAGTCACAGTTTGTATTAGACTACCTTTCATAGTGTGTTCTCATACTCTAAACTGACACCTTTTCAATGACCATGCACATATTTCTCCTACATATTTTAGACATTACACATCTGCCCCCAGCAATGTACTCGGCTTGGTTTCCTAATGAAAAACACCGTTTTTAGGCAAAAGAGAGTCTTGAAAGCACTCATCAATCTAGAGCTAAAAGGGGTCTTGGTTTGACCTGGTTTTGACTTTGGTTTGACTTTGGTTTTGACCTTGGGTTTGACTTTGGGTTTGACCTTGGTTTGACTTTGGTTTTGACCTGGTTTGACCCCTTTAATTTTTCAGATGAGGAAACTGAGGTCCAAAGAGATTGACTCACTGACCAATGCCTATGATTACTATATAGGAGTATATACATTCTGCACCAGTGATCCCTTCTCCCTCCCACACAACCCTGCTAAATGCTAAGTGTTATCAACAGACTATCCCTTTCCTTAATCATACAGATCCAGATACTGAAAGGAAGGTCGGATATGCTCAGGGAAATTATTTGAAAAGGATAATACAGTGAAAGGAAATAAAATGTCATGTCATCTTAGCACATTTCTGGTGGTTTGTATAGTGAAAAGAATGAAAATATACCTCTGCCACTTGGCATTACAAAATTTTTTTCTTTCTTTTCCCTTTTAGAGCAAAATTTGGGATCACTAGAATATGTAACACATAGAGAGTTGCCTCTGCCTGAGAAACCAGATCCTTCTCTGACCCCTCTGCCAAGGCCATGAATTTCTCTCTTTCATTTAACATGTGTTGGGTTTTAAATGATGTGTCATTCTGACACAGTGGGCTAAAGGCTAACAGCTCAAATGTTCCTTCTCAGAATTGCTCCAAAAGATGTCATCCTCACCCAACACTCCTTTGCATATAGATAAATCCTGATTGCCAAAGGCATAGTGTAAAATTAACCAACAAAGAGATATATTGATGTGTGCATTCTTGACCTCTGTGCTCATTTCAAACTAGCACCCTTACAGGTAACATCACTAGACATTATTTAAAAAAAAAAAAAGGTTTTCTCCACTCAGGTCATAGCCCAGTACTCTATTGTGGTATGGAGGTAATTCTGGGTCCTCAAAGGCTATTGCAGGTCCTACCCAGCTAAAAAGGCCTCAGGTTTGGGTCTTGGGACAGAAAGTGTGTCTGCTGTGTGTACATTAGCCTAACTCATAGAGAACACAAGCTCCTGACCAGAAAATTGGCCACTGGGTGATGAATATTTGGCCATAATTCATAAAACTGCCTCCTGAGATATGGAAGGGCTGCTGTAAGAAGCTCCCATACTAATGAAATCCCAAATCAAAGTAATGAAAACAAAACAAACTTTTAAAACAACAACTGCAACTTGGTTTTGGAATTAAATGCCAGCCTCGGATTTGGTTACATCTAAATCCAGCTTACAGACAAAGAGAGAACAAGGCATTAGGGTCACGCTAGGCCAAGTTTAACTTGTTTATTGTGTCCACTGAAGGCTCTGAAACTTCCTAGTCACACATACCATTTGCATCATCATAAATAAATGTATATTCCCTCCTCCCAGGGCACTGTCCCCCAATTTTTAGTTAAACTATTAACTCATTTTAAGGAGAGATCATTTCATTCTTTGTACTAATATCCCCATCACCTAGCTCAATGTCTGGCTCATAGCAGATGGTGCTTAATAAATGGTTACTATTGTTTTGGGGACCTTCTGGCTCTTCTACCCAGTTTAATAATATTAGAATGCATATATAGGTATATGTGAAAGGAGTGAGGAAGTAAGCAACAAAGCTATACCTAAAAATGCATCAGATTGAAACACTGATCAGTGACATACATGAAGTAAGAGGCAAGAAGGCTTTCTGGAGGCCACAATAACTCATAGTCCTTGTCCTGCTGGCACAGAAAGAGTTACAACTGAGAACAGTCATTGTCATATATCAGGCATGGTAGACAAGGAGAAACCCTGGACATTCATATGCTCTTTTTTTTTTTAAGTATTAACCTTCTCTTGTCTCTTTGCTCTTTCCTCTTGACCTTGCCAGTCAATAAACATTTATTAAGCACCTCCTATGTGCCAGGCACTGTGCTAAGTGCTGAATGAACCTTGGTGACTGTTGTCATCTATAATGACCCCGCTTCCTGTGGGAGATTCTCTAAATTCCTCATTTGCATACTCTAACAATGAAAATTGAGCCAAAATTCTACATTTCAAAGCAGATATTTCCTCAATCGCTATTAGGAGCTTCAGCTACCATATTCTGTCCTTTTATTTCCCCACCTCCCTTTCGAGTAAAGCACAATTTTTTTTTTAACCATATAGAACCAGAGAGTCTCAGAGCAGGAAAGAACCTCAGATCATCTGGTCCAATCCCTGTCTCAAACATCAATCCCCTCTACAACATTCCCAACTAAAGGTCACCTAGCCTCAAAGTGAAGATCTCCAGGGCTAGAGAAATCACTGTCTATTTGAATCATCTTCAGGGATCAGTCAGGAAACTACAACCTGCGGGCCAAAACCTACCTGCCTCCTGTTTTTTCTACTGCCCAAGACCTAAAAATTGTTTTTACATTTTTAAATACCATAAAACTTTATTTTAAAATGTAAAAAACATTCTTAGTTCACATAAAAATAGGAGGCATGCCAGATTTGGTCCATTGACTACAGTTTGCTAACCCCTCTGTCTATTTTTGAATAGCTGTAATTTTCAGAAAGTTTTTCAAAATAGTAAACTAAAACCTACTTTTCTATGGCTTTTTCCCTCTGCTCCTAGTTCTTGCCTCTGGAGTCAAATAGAACAAATTTAATCTTTCTGCTAAGAACGCATCCTTTGCCTTTTTCTAACCCATTTTTATTTTCTTCTCCATGGTAGCCAGGATCAGGAAAATGTGCTAGGTGTAATATAGCTGGATTTTGTCAAGGCTTTTTTGAGAAAGTCTCTCATGATATCCTTGTGGACAGAATGAAAAGATAAGGACCTATTGATAAGGACCTACTAGAGTTAAGTAGATTTGCAATGAGTTGAGTGAACAGATAAAAAGAGTAATGATTAAACAGATCAATGTCAGCCTGGGGGAAAGCTTCAGTGACGGCATAGAGCTGTCTTGAGCCTTAGACTCTTAAGCATTATCATCAATGACTTGGATGAAGGCAGAGAAAATATTGCTTATCAAATTCATAGAGGATACAACACTAGGAGGGATAGCTAATATACTAGATGACAAAATTGGCATCCAAAAAGACGACAGGCAAGGATGTTGGGGCTGAAAAGAGTAAGATGAAATGTAATGGGAATAAATGCAAAGTCCTCTCTTTGGATTAAAAAAAAAAACAAAAAACAACCAACTGCACCAATATCAGATGGGGGAAACAATGTTCACATGAATAAAAGATTTGAGGCTTTTTGTGGAGTGCAAGCCTACTGGAATTAACCAAATGGCCTAGTTGTCAAAAAGACAAGTGTGATCTTGGGATGTATCAGAAGAAAGATGTGCCTAGAATAAGGGAGATTATAGCTCTGTTGGTACTCTGCTCTAGTTAGAACACATCAGGAATGTTGTATAGTGATCTGGGCACCACATTTTAGGAAGGATATTGGTAAACAGGAGTGTGTCCAGAGGGTAACCAGGATACTGAAGGAAAGTAAAACTATGCCAGACGGGAAATGGTTAGAGGCCTACAGAAGACTTAAGGACATTATTGATGTCCTGAAGCATTTAAAGAGCTGTCACAGAGAAGAGAGATTAATCTTGTTTTTCTTGGTGCTACGGGATAGTGCTAAGAGGAGTGAGGAAAAACTACAGAGAGAGATAAATTACAACATCACACTGGGAAGAACCTACTACCAATTAGAACAACCCAAGAACAGAACGACTCCCCTGGGAATTAGTGGGATCCCATCACTGGAGGTTTTCTAGGAGAGGCTAGATGACCAAGTATAGGGGCTGTTGTAGAGGGAATACATGGTTTAGCTTAGGGCTTCAACCAGATGACCTCAGAGGGTTCTTCCAGCTTTGAGACTGTCTAAACATTTACATTCTTTTCCATTCCCTAAAGAGGTAGAGCAGCACAATGAGTAGAGACCTGGCCACATGACTAGGAAGAAGGGTGGCTAGGCAGCACAGTGGATAGAGCACCAGCCCTAGAGTCAATAGGACCCGAGTTCAAATCTGACCTCAAACACTAACTAGCTGTATGACCCTGGACAAGTCACTTAACCCCAATTGCCTCCAAAAAAAAAAAAAAGACTAGGAGTACTAGGAGTCAAAATCCTGCCTCTGATACATATTGACCTTAGAGTAGTCACTGAACCTCTCAGTGAAACATGCACCCCACAACACTACCATATGTAGCCCAAACTAGATTAAAATGTGGGCCCTATCCAATGTTGGTATATTAATAAAAAAGAAATATAAACCGTTATGGTTTCCTGAGTCCATATGCAGCTCACAGGGATTCTTATGTAGAGTTTAGTGGCTTCTGTTTCTATCTGAGAATGAAACCCCTGTTGTAGGCAACTCTCTGAGACTATAAATTGCAGAGAAGGGGCTGCCCTGCATAGGGAGGGAGAGGGCACCCTCACAAGTCCAGCCTCTCTCACTCACCTTTCACTCCCCACTCATGATGCATGCATTTTGTCTTTTATTCGACAGAGGTGTTTATTAGTGAACTCAGAAAGTTTGATTTCTCTTATAGAGACAAAGACCTTTCCAAAACCAACCCTTCTTAATTTATCCCTTCCCCCACCTCTTTCTTACTGGTTTTGGAACTCACCCATTTTCATGCCCAGAATTGTAGCATTCAGTAAGATACACAGAAACTCCTAATATACATATTACAAGCCATAGTGTCCCTCTATGGTTCTTTCTTTCATATCTGTCCAAATCAACCCAAGAGACGGAATACAAAGGAGAAGGTAGAGAGACTCTGAGAATTCCTCTCTCCAGCTTCTCCAGGCCTAGCCTGCTTTGGCTTTTATTCCAAAGGGAAAGAGTTTTCCCTTTCTCCCAAGTTGAACTTTTCTCCCACCAGAAATGTTGCATGATAGCATCTATAGAGTTCTTCAGGTTCCTCATATAGGAGGAAGGGCTTCCATTGATAGGAACTATTCCAAGTGGAGGTCATCAGTTGATCAGGTTTCACCATGAAACTTTTAGAAGTAGAGTCCTATTTTTATTTATTTCTCTCAACCACTTTCCTTTGCATTTTTCATTACAGTCCCTTGAAAACTCCCCTGAAAACTCTGGACCTATCTAACTGCTCCCTGAACTATGCAGATATGGCCTACTTAGCAAATTGCCTCCATGCCCCCCATCTGGAGGTGCTCGACCTCAGTGGACACAATGTGGTCAACCTGTACCCATCAACCTTCTTCAAACTGCTCAGCCAAGCCTCCTGTACCCTGAAGGTCCTGATCTTGGAAGAATGCAACATTGAGGACAGAAACCTTACCATGATGATTGTGGGTTTGACCCCCTGCCGGAAACTGCAAGTCTTCAAATTTCTTGGGAACCCACTTTCCTCCCAAGCACTGAAATGCCTCTTCAATGTTTTCTGTCAACTCCCCAAGATGAAATCCATTGAATTCCCAGTGCCAAGGGACTGCTATCCAGATGGCGTCAACTATCCATTGGATGATGCCACCCTCTCCAAATTTGATCACCAGAAATATGAGAAGATTACAGAAGAACTTCATACAATCCTACTTCAGGCCAATCGGGAAGACATCAAGGCTTCCACACCTCTCTTTGGAAGCTATGACCCAGACATTCAAGAAACAAGCAATGAGCTTGGAGCCTTCTTGCTTCAATCTTTCAGAGATGCCCTAGAAAACTTTACCACAGCACTAAAAAAAATGAATTAAGTGCCTTAAAAGAAGTCCATGCAACTACATCACAGTGAGATGCTTTTGCATCAACTTTCTTTGTCCCTCTGGAGATCAGTCCTGGGTTGGGAATGGAACCAAGATGAAGCATCATCATCATTATCATGACCACCAGCATAATCACCACTACCACCATCATCAAGCATTCATTAAATGCCTGTTTATGCATGGCACTGGGTGAGGCACTGTATAAAGCTGAATACCTAGTACTATTCCTGCCCTCTTGGAGTTCACACTCGAAATACACCTGAATGCTATTTTTTTTACTCTTCACAGTCGGTTCTGAGAGTCTGGGTTGAAGTTAACAGGAAGAAGGGAAAATCCCTGAGACCTTCAGAGAAGTTGTATCACAGTCCAGCACATTCTAAAGAAAAGATGTGATAGTCAGGCAACCTGCTCTAGAGGACTGCTACTGACAAAGCAAACTTCCTTGGAGCTGGGTGTGGGAAAAGACCATGCCAAAGACATGGGTAAAGGCAGTAGGCAATTGGAGGGGGGTGGCAATTGTAGCAGACACCAAGTCAACAGGGGTGTAATGAGATAGAATGAGAAGGAAACCAGTGATAAAAAATTAGACAGAGATAGAAGAAAATATAAGGAGTAAGTGAGTTGGTCACTAAGCTAATGAACTTTTAACCAAGGAATAGGAAGAGGAAAGATGAGAAAAGCAAACCAGACTTTCATTCTTATCAACAAATTCTCTATGGAGCTGGTTCTCAAGGTATGATCTATAGATGGTTTGCAAGTTCTCCAAATGGTTCACAATATGTTTTTTGCAGTACTCATGCAGTACAATATGATAGTGTCTATACTTTAATTTCCAAACTGAATTAATAATCTATTAATGCTGTCCCAGTATTGACGTTGTTCTCTTAAAACACAGTGGTAGGGTTTTGTTTGTTTGTTTGGTTTGGTTTTGCAGTGATTAGAAGCAGAAATGGAGTCAGTAGTCCAAAGAGAAGCCATAATAAGGCAGAACTCAACTCAATTTAAGGAAAAACTGCTCTACAATTACAATCATCTAATACTGGAACAGGCGACCTTGTTTGGGGAAGATGGGGTGATAGCAGATTCCCCCTCATGGAAAGTCATCAAGCATAGATGACCATTTCTCAGGGATGTTATAGAGGGGATTCACGGTCAAGAACATGTTGCACTAGATGGCCTCAGAGATCCCTTTCACCTCCGAGATTCTGTAATTCTGACTGATACTTCTACGTTCCAACACTTGTAATTAGCTGAGGGATCCAAAACCAATGTTTAAGAACCACGTCTTAAATTTTGAGAACTTCCCTGAGTTTTAGAGCTTCAGAAAATCGCTTTCATCTGAGCATTTCTAGGATTCATCTGAGAAACCCTAAACTCTAGAGCAGCTGGTTCCAATCCAGGGGACTACATCAGTTTCAAAAATACCCAGCCCATTCACCACTACCATGCATCACCACCACCACCACTTCCTGGTTCAATTATTTGTTACAGATGCTTTTTTTCAGTATTTTCTGCATATAAAGAACAGTCTCCTGAGGCCAAGTGAAGTGTGTCCATGGTATATTATTTAGATCATGTGAACTTAGCAGGGAAAGTACATGGTCATCACATGTAACAAAAAAAACAGGACTACTCCCATGAACTTATATTACAAAGATGCAGTTTGTATCAAGGTCTAATGAGTGATAAAAATAATCTGCCTGGAAATAAACCGTAAGTGTGCTTTGATATCATGTGTTGTTTTTTCTTTATTTTAGTATAATTCAGAATGAAAGCCCTCTAAGGTTCTGAAATATTATTTGTTTGTGTATTTATTTTTGTATGACCAAAAAGGAATTCATGTTTCAGGTAAGGGTTAGGCCAGATCATCTGTAAGGTCTTATCCAACTCTGAGATTTTAGGATCCTATTATTTGCCATAGTAATTGCCTGTTGTCTCAATGATTAATTCCCAAAGTCATAAGTATCAATTTGGGGGCCCCATGCAAAAAAAAGAACTGGGGCAAGCCGCTCAAAATGGGTCCTCAAATCAATTTTGTGATTCACAATATAGGACTAGAACAAGAAGAAATTAAGACAGAATCAGTTGAGTGGGATGGGGAACTGGTATACTTTTAGTGTGTCACAAATGGGTGTCACTAGCAATAGTAGCTTCCTATTTTTACTAAACATTCTTGCAACTGTATGCATTAAACTGTCACCCTCTACATGTCAGTGCCATGGGGCAGAGCCCTGGTCCCCCTTTCTAGAAAATGTCTTTGTCCTAACTTTCTAGATTCACATCACTTCAGTTCGATTTTTTTTTAAAACACTTTCTCTCCAATATAGTATTTGCTTTCCAAATGTGTTGATACTATTATCCTTTCTGGTCAAAGCTGCAGAAAGTCTTCCCCCATGAAAGCTGTTGAAGAGTGGAGCAGATAGCTGAAGAAGGTTATGGAATCTCCTCTCTCTCTCACTCTGACTCCCCACATTCAATCGGTTTCCAAGACCTCCAACTTAACCTTTTAAATATCTCTTGCAAATGTCCCCTTCTTTCCAGTACAGTGGCTATCTCTACTGGAATTACTCTAATTCATTAAAGTCCAGTTTAATAGTGGGTAGATAGCAATCTACCGGGAAAAGATTTGGGAACTGAGTGGCCTGCAAGCTCAATGTGAGTTTGCCATCGCAACCAAAAAAATCAAATATGAGTTTAGGTGGCATTAAGAAAGGAATGTTGATGTTGTTCAGTCATGACCAAGTCTTCTTGACCTCATTTGGGATTTTCTTGGCAAAGATACTGAAATGGTTTGCCATTTCCTTCTCCAACTTATTTTACAGATGAGGAAACTGAGTCAAACAGGGATAAGTGACTCGCCTAGAGTCAAACAGGTAGTGAGACCAGATTTGAACTCAGGAAGATTAGTCTTCCTGTCTTCAGGCCAAGCACTCTATTCTCTGCACCACCTAGCTTCCCAAGAATGGAATAGTATAGTAAGACCACATTTGTGAAATATCACGTTCAGTTCAGAATGCCACAATTTAGGAAGGATATTGATAAGCTGAAGAGTATCCAAAGGAGCTTAATCTGGATGTAAAGGCAGATAGATGGTGCAGTGGATAAAGGACCAGGCCTGTAGTCAAGAAGATCTGCGTTCAAATCGGGTTCCATTAAGTTCACTCCGGGGCATCCCTGAAGTGGGAAATCCTTTTGATAAGAAGAAAAATCTCCTAATATTCCAGTTTTTCATTCTGGCCCCAAATTTCTATCTCGCTGATCAGATTTTCTTAAGGTAGGATCTCCCTATACATGGACTATGAAAATATAAACTTTTTAAAATTTATTGTCAATTTTCAGCTGCTTCAGCATGTCTTAGAGTGGAAGGCAAAAGGCCATAGAAGAGCATTCTATTACTAGAAAAGAAAAAAATGTAAGATAGGGATGGGAAGAAAGAATATAATTATTTCTATAATTCTATAGACCTTTTAAGATTAATGATTAATATATCAATCAATAAGCATTTATCAAGCACCTCCTGTGTGCCAGGCACTGTACTAAGTTGTTTATTATTTAAAGCAGTAGAATAAGTAAATATATGAATACTAGATTCATGTAAGTATGTATGAGTATGCAGACGCGTGTTAGAATAAACCCTTGATTGTCTGGGTTGCTAATGAGAGTCATGGCATGACCAATCCAGAAGAACAGATATAACAACCTAAAAGGCATTCGTATTTACCTTTGGACTTAAGGATGGGTAAGCAGGTAAGTAGATGCATAGAAAGAGAGAGAGAGAGAGAGAGAGAGAGAGAGAGAGAGAGAGAGAGAGAGCACAAAATGATCTTCTTAGTCATGTCTTGCCTCAGGGCTTCAGAAGACTTGTGATTTCATAATCAGCCCTCCACTGCATATATTACAAGCTCCTCCACGCTTCAGTGCAGTTTTCATTTTCATACATATTCATCACTTGGTGCCCAACTCTCTGACAAAGAGCCTATTTACACTTAGGTAGGCTGCTCACAGATGACAGACACAAAGTCCATTGCCCAGCTCACACCTGAAGCCTGGCCACCCTATAACCTATATGATCATAGATGTAGAGTTGGCAGAGGTCCTTGAGTCCACCTACTTCAGTTATAGATGAAAGTGAGGCCAAAAGAAGTTAAGTGGCTTGCTTAGGGCCAACAGCTAGTAAGTATCAGAGGTAGGATTTGCACTAGGGTCCCCCTCACCCCAATCCCAGTGCTCTGCATGCTATACTATGCTGCCTCTTAAACCTTGCACTGCATTAGCAGTCACAAGAGAACCCAAGATTACCTCCATGTCATGATGTGGGGTCAGAGGAGCATTTTAGTGGAGGAATTACATTTTATTTAAGTTAATCTAAAAACTGGTTTTCATTCCCTAAATATGAGGCAGCTAATGGGAGAAAATGTTTCCAAGTACTCAATAGTGAGGTGAAGCTAGCCAGAGGCTAATTTCATCCTGGATTTTATATATATACATATATATATATGTATATACACACACACACACACACACACACACACACACACATACATATATATGTGTATATATGTATATACACATACATACTATATAATCCACACAATGATTGATTAGAGTTGACTATCTTGTGTTTTGGATGTGACTGAACTTTTTGATTTGTTATTTGTTTCTGGGTAAATTTGTAAATGAAAAAATGAAAAATGTCTGAGATGACTGAATTTCATGACCATTTCAGCTTATCCTTAAGAGCCATACTGAAGTTGGGTCTTTAGGGTGCTTAGCATACCAGCAAACCTGACTGTCAATAATGGTGTTTCTTTTTTAAAATAATTTGTGTTGACATCTTTTGATTATACATCACTAGAATTTCTCCCAGTTTCTCTCATCCTCCCCTTTCCAGAGAGCCATCCCATATAGCAAGTATTTTTAAAAGACAAAAAATGAAAAAGAGGAAGAGAAAAAAATTAGCAAAACAAGTCGGTACATTGAAAAAGTCTGAAGATATAGGAAATGTTCCACACCTATGGACCTCCTACCAAAGGAGTG